TCATCACACTGCTGTTTTTTCAGCATAATCGAACAGCCTACGACATTGTAGCAGGAACCATTGTGGTAAAAAGAAATGGGGTCAGATGATGTCCCAGAAAACCCTGAATTCCACTCTTTGGAATAATGACAAGACTAAATTATGTGTCAAGGCCATCAGTATCCCTGGGTAAAATTGATTTAGAAATTAAAGCAGTCACTTCAGTGTGATACAGGTGACTGTTTGGAAAGTATTGATTTTACTTGAATGCCAAAGAACTTTTCCAGAAGAAAAACATAGTAAATTCAAGTGTTAAAAAATTTTTAGATCAACAAGGCCAGTGGTTTCATAATCAACAACGGACAATATATACTTTCTTTAGATCTAAGGCATTAGAATTTGTTAAAAGCATTTTCAGCTTTGAAATCTCCAAATGAAACTTTAAAATTTTTATTTTGGTTTATCCCAAAATGATGGAAGAAGTCCAGTTGTGTTTTGTAAACACCTACTTAGTTTATCTTTTAGTTAACACTTCTTGGGGAAATGGTTCTTTGTTTGGGTGTGGGAAGGGAGGGAGTGAGAACACAAATTGGCTCTTCACTCACCTCCCTTGCCAGCAGGTGTTGAGTCAGCTGCAGTGTTTTTGAAAGGGGCAAGTGAGGCAGGCCTAGCAGTTCCTTGCCTGAAGTTTCCAGTCTGTGCTGTAGTTCACTGCAGTAAAGGTGTAACTCTGCAACTATTCTTAATGCTTAAACATGTGTTTAGGGGCAAATTTTTCATAATGATGAAAAAGTATTAAGTCGTATTGCTATATTATCACTGATTTTTTTAAATGAGAAAAGGTAAGTTAGTGATTGTTTATAAGGGCAGGGGGTGTAAATTTTCACTGTAAATTTAAAACATACAGTTCATGTGCAAGTATTTTCAGTGCCCTCCAAAACTCACTACGACTATGTGGGGAAAACTTCTATCAAAATGTTGCATATTTACTATAAAATTTGTGTGCAGCATGAAGAAAGTGTTAATGCTTTTCAGTGTTGAGTGTAACTTATATTTATATACTTCATACTCACATAGTAGTAGTTCCTTTCCTCTTCTTATATAGTTCCATGACTGTTGAGACATCAAAGAGTTAAATAAATCACCTTAGTTATTTCATGAGTAACTCTAAATGCCAGTAGCCTGTGAAATGCTAGCAATTTTCCCATCCTGAACTTCTCTCTCCAAAGCAAGGGAGACATGATCTCCAGACATCATTTCAGCTGCTTTCAGCTCATTTTGGGCCTGCTTGGGATGGAGTTGTAGGGGAAATGTGAAGCAAAATAATACTTTTGTGTATTGCCATTTTACTTTACTCTGCTGAAGCAAAGTCATGGGGTTTTGTTCATGTTTGTGTGTGCTTTTGTTGTGTGTTCCAGTTAGCTGTGTTGAGAGAGATACCCGAACTATTTATAATTTTTTGATTCTTAGTCATTTTCTCCAACTCTAACACTATTTTCCAAAAAACACTAAACTGTACTGTACAGTTTAAAATTAGACTGCTTAAGGGATCAGTCTAGGCTTTGTTCTTGGTATTAAAGTTATAGCAAACCCAAGATATTCTGTTATCACTGTTCAATTTTTAAAGTAGATTTTTCTTTTGATATTTAAAACTGTGAAAGTAACATTTAAGTGTAGAAACTTTGACAGTGTCCTTAGTAATACGTGTTTATTGTAAAACTTAACAATAAGATTTATTAGTTAAGTGTGTACAAGTACTAAATAGATGACTATGATTCACTTGTAACCTCTGTGAAGGTTGTTTTATGGCTCTTCACAGGAAAAAGAAAACAAAAAATCTTTTATTTGTATTGAAAATTGGGAAATGTTATACAAACTTAAAATAGTATAGACACTACTGTTGTCACTGATTGGAGAATTCAAGTTTAAATGTCCTTCAGTCGTAACTGTGGAATATATCTTTGACTTGGAATTTCTACTGAAATAAGTTGTCATCAAGGCTTTTTATTTATACAAAAAAAAAGTAGTTCAGTTTAATTAGCTATGGTTAGAGAAGTATAATTTGCTGTAAGTGTGGACTCAAGTTATACTATGTATTCCCATAGGATACACATTAAGTCTTACTTTGCCTTTACAACAAAACCAAAGTCTGTTTCTATTTATGAATTCAGTGCTTAGAGGAAGTACTTTTTCATTCCCAGAGTTGAAAAATGTGACAAAACAATGGGGAAAAAAGAGAACATGGCCCAGTGCCCATTTTCCCTTGTGGCTATGAGGTGGACTCTCCCTTTCAGGAAACCTTTCTATTTGGTATATTTCACTTATATAAGTGATATTGGCTCTTTTCTGTGTCAAAATCTAATTCTCAAGTTGAAACTCTAGCCTAAAAAGGCAAAAAAAAAAAAGATTCTTAGTACAAACATTATTTGTCACTTTAAAAGTATCCTGGAATGGCTAGTCTGGCAGGCTGACCACTGTTCATGTTGGGAGGCAGAAGCTGGGCCCTGGGTACACAGTGCCGAGTAGTAGCCTTGCTTTACAAAGACCACTCTATAAAAAAAGAAAGCAAGCCTGCACGTTTGGATGGAAAGTCTTTACTTGCCAGTATTATGAGAAAGTATGGGCCAACTCCGTTAGCACTGGTTCAGTAGTTCTACCTTAATGTTCACCTTCCATCACTCAACGTGTTTAGGATTGGGGGAAAAAAGACATTCTATTTGAGGGCCACTTGTCTAATGTTTTAATGTCTTAAAATGCTAGCAAAATTTAACTCCTACATTAAAAGGATTTGTTCTTGTCAGTGATTTGAGTGTTTTTGCTTACACATAAAAATTTATACTTGGGAATATAAAGGGATTTTTGAGGGGGGTGTAGTATTGAATGTTTTCATTCTACATTTAGCCCTATTAAAAGAGGCTATTGTTTCTTCAAAGAATGTGCCCAAATAAAAGTATTCCTAAAATCTGGCAAGTACCATGTTTAAATTCTTGCCATCTCCCCCCACCCAGTACGAAAGGCCAAAGTCTTCACAATGTTTGCTTGCATGAATGATGTTCCTCATTTCAAACAGTATGTGCACATTAGAGTAGGAATTGACCTGCAGTTTCTGATGTCCGACCAATAAATAAAATCCATCATTCTATTTTTTAATAATTTGTATGCCACCAGTTTGTATTATTTTTCTCAATAAATACTTGTGTCACCAGTGCATCTGTGTTTTGTCTGTTTATTTGAGGTTTGCTAGGGAGACCTTGCTTCCAAGTACCACTTTCCAGGGGCTACTCCAGTGAACTGGGTCATTTTTAGAAATGGGTCTATGAAAACATTATCTCCTCAAGGGATATTTCTTTCCCACACCAGTTACAATCAATCCAGTCCTTAAAGAGTCATTAGCTACCACAGCCATCATATAAGACTATGAGACAGCTGGGCAACTTAAACTCAGTTTTGGTCTTACAAACCCCTCCCAATCTAACCTACACAGACAAGCTAAGGGAACAGATAAAGTATCCACGGGAAAGGCAAAAATATATTCTGGTTTGAACCTGTAGACAATGTGCTGTTAAAAACTTAGCTACTAAGGGCTGGGGTTGTGGCTCAGAGGTGGAACACTAGGTACATGAATAAAAATAGAGGTATTGTGTCCACCTACAACAACAAAGCCACTAATTGCACATTTTAGAACTACATTGTCCTTTGAGCAAAGTTTGTAAAGCTGCTCCATATTATAAGATAAAGTCTCTTGACTGACTTGGTTAGGGTTAGGGAGCAGTGGTGTGTGGACATAACACCCCCATTTCCTCAATGCTACATCAAATTAGTATCCATTAAACACACAAGCTAACCTTTAAAATTTTTCACTGAATTTCAAATTTTAAACAGGCCCCCAAAAGGACATGCCATCAGAATAGACGGAAACATTCTTCCCAGGCTAAACTATTAACAGCCTGGTAACAAATTGTTAAAATGAACAATTTATTTCAGTAAAGAGGGTCACAAGTTTGAGGCCAACCAGGGCAACTTACCCTCAAAGAGGGCTAAAGATACAGCTTAGTGGCAAAGCATTAGGTTTGATCCCTGGTACTGAGGAATAAAGATTGGAAATAGTCCCAAGTTCAAATACAGTTCTATAGACACTCAGTTGGGAAGCTGAAAGATCCCATTTATGGGATCTTCAGTATGGATTATTGGTAACTTGTTTAAAAAAGGAACACTAAACATTTCTAGCATATTTTTTGAGAAAAGTAGAAAGCCTGACATGCCTAATTACCTGGGATGGGTAATGGCAAAGAACCAACCTACAAGAGCATTAGGTATTAACTTCCTAGCAGTCACAGACTTCCAGTTACCTCTTCTAGCATTGACTATCACCATTTGACCTCTAAAGAGGTCAAGTATCAAATATGTATTATTAATTATAAATGGATGATGGTTGAAGATACCTTAGGTAAGACAAACATCGTTTTATGGAAAACAGAAGTGCTTCTAAACATTATAAAATTTCAGAATTTCAACTCCAACCACCTCAAATTAAAAGCAAGCACATATTAACTGCATTCAAATTGCAGTCTAAAAATACCAAATGCTATTCTAAGAGTTCATTGGGCCACAGGAAAAAAAAGTGATCAGTAAAATAATAATTTAGTAATTTAAAAAATTACAGAAAAGGACCACTAAAGTTTTTGAAAATTGCTTTAGATACATATCCCTCTATGTATCTAAATGATACTATGAATAAACACTGTCCAATCACCTATCAAGGAAGATATAATACAAACAAATGGTTGTGTGTGTTTATTTTCAACTTTAAAATATGAAGATCTATGTGCAAATAGGCAAGACCCCCAGCACCAGACAGGCAGGGTGCCTCTTTCATGCTGTCAACTCAGACCCTTTCCTCTCTACATTAAATATACTCTCTGGGATTTCTAACTGACCACTGCTGACTTTTTCTTTAATTAAAGTTCCTTTCCATGGCTACTGTGTACCTTCATTATGAGTTAAAATTCTTTAACAAAAAGTGCTTCATAAATTTTTATTGATGGCATTTATCCCATGGTTTAACATGTTAATTATACTGTAATAAACATGGCTTTAATATTAAACTTTTCCTTATTATCCAAAGTCACCACAGTCCATTTCAGTAAATATAAAAATATATGCTTAATACTTTGTACAATACTGGTTTTTGGTCCAAACAAAACTGGATCAGAAAAGCCAATAAATTCAACTTTAAGTATCCCCAATTTTTTTTTTAAAGATTTCTAAATGGATTTAGGCAACTTTGAATAATGGGATTTACATAATAAAATCTGAGACAAGACTAAACAAACAAAAAAAAATGTCTAACACAAAATTAAAATTTCAAGTTCACAGATTTATGTTATGCCAAAAAAGTACAGAAACAAAATTATATTTACAGAAGTTTCATAATAAAATAATGAAAAAGGCAAGACAGGTGATAGAAGAATGAAAATGTAGAAATAGCATATAATTATTAAATGGACAATGAACTAGATCTAACAAGTCCTTGGCATGGACCGTTCTTTAATCAGGCTTTCTCTATCAGAAAATCTTAGTGCACAACACACCCAACTCACTCACTTCACACGTACACCAGCACAAACTCGGCATAGAGATCATTCATTTCAACGTCCTCTAATCTATACAGAATTCCTCAGATATAATTACAAGTTCAATGCGTTCCACAAACGCTTATCAGCGCACATAGCGGTGCAGACGAAGAGGGTCTATACAAAGCCATTCACCGTGCAGGCTCTATTCCTGGGGACAGCCAGACTATGCCAAAATCAGTGAATAATGTGCTGAATCATAAAATATTTTTGCTGAAGAATCAGTCACCAGTCTAGCTATTATTTTTTTTAAAAAGGGGGGTGGAGATTGATAGAGGTGGGAGTGGAGCTTCTGTAAAGAAAAAGAGGAGGAAAATTCCAAAATTAAAGAAGTCCTTAGGCAGATGTGACTTCAGACGAGCCCAGTCTGGAGTACAATCCAGTATCTGAAAGAAGGGCACCAGCTGTAGTTAAAACTGTTGTGTGCAACACCACTGTGACCTTTATTTCTTGCGCCTAACAGCAGTCTTTATTTTGCGAGCAGGAACTGAAGTTCCAGAAGAGGAGAACATATTTTTCCCATTTGACCTGTGGGGGAAAAAAACTTCATAATGTGACATGATGCTCAATAAAAAAATATTAGAATCATAATAACTTTTTACATGACCAGAAACAGGGAAAAGAGAGCAGGAAAGACACTGTGAAGCAAATACATTTTCCACTTTATCTGACACACACTACTACTACAACTAATATTTTTTTCTCAGGCTATAAATCTCCAAAATTAAAACAAGGCAAATTGGTGTTGGAGAATATATTAATTTCACCCAAAGTATATTGCATCTGAACGACTTTCAGGAAGCAAAACACACGCATTCATACACTCTTGACCTTCACTTGAATATCAATTCTTCTTACCCCACTGTGAAAGCTGCTGTAGGCTGGTTGAATGGAAAGCCCCCTGAGCCTGAAGGCTGGGCAGAGGCTGCAGGCGTGCTAGGATTTGCACCAAATGTGAACACTCCTGATGGGTTGTTGTTTGTGAAATTGAAATTTGTAGTGCTGCTGCCAAATTGGAAACCGGAACCTATAATAGTTGAAGCAGAAATACTTCATTAAAGGAAAAATAATAGTTTTTCTTCAGTAATGATTCTGACCTCAACATATGAAAACATGTAAAGAGTTAAGATCTCTTATGATTATATAATCTACAGAAAATTAAAATATTTTCTCTGACACCAATTGGTATCTCCAACAAGTGAAACAATTTGGCCTTGACCAAGGAGAAAAGGGCAGAGTACACAAACAGACAAACATTCAGGTCTATCTTCTTTGAAAAGTACATTAAAATAAGAGGAAAGGGGAATGACCAGGTACAGTGATGCTTGCTGGTAACTTCAGCAGGAGTCTGAGTGAGAAGGATTGCCAAGTTCGAGGCCAGCAAACAAACAAGGACAAGGATGACAACAAAGAAAACCATCAGAAAGAATGTGGATGGTTTTTAGAAACAAACTCTTAACACCAAACCAAAGTTTAGTCTTTGGAGAGGTCTCTGGAGCAGGGGACATGACACCAAGTCAAAGGTGACCTCAACCCATCCTCCCTGACCCAGCTCCCAGAACACTGGCAAGCAGGAGGATCCCTGTTACCCTCTAAGCAGATGAGTACAAACATTTTCTCTGGGGAATTTAACAAACTAAGATGAAAAACCTAAAGATACTAACATCCAGGTGTTTATAATAATAATAATGCTAGATAAATCAGATAAACCTACAATAAAACTGAAGAGGCATACTCTTCAGCAGTATGTAAAGGATTTAAGTGGTATTTAGGTATCCTACACTCTTACAACTATTAGCAGACAGCCAAGGACCACCAGATATTTGGTGTCAGTATTAACACCAAAACAAAAACAGAAAAAAGCAATCTGGGGAAATAAGCAGGAAAGTGAAACCTGAAGAAAAACCAGTAACTCAGTATCACTAACATCTCAAGGAATAACAGAAAACACTCTATCCATGAAACAAAACCAGAGAAATAAAAGAAACAGCCAGAAAACAAATATAAAAAAATAATTCAAAAAATAAAAAGTAATAATACTAAAGGTAAAATCTCAAAAGAAGGGACAAGAAAACATTAAAAAAAAAATCTCTTGAGAAAGTACAAAAGACAAAAGTCATGCTTAAAGGAACTCCTGAGGTGATGGTAAGAGAGCACAAAGCCACCACTGTAGAACAGCTGGGCTAGGAAGCCTAGTGGAAGAACAGATTCAAAAGAAAATTTTTTCAGATGTTAATAAATAGTTTATGGCTTTAAAAATACTGAGGAAATAGTTATACAAATTCAGGAAGAGTTTAAACTTTAGTTATAAGTACAAAGAAAATGTTAAAAGAGCAGGAATCATTGATGTCAGAGGCAACAAAATTTTGAATAGGAAAGAAAATCACAGCATACCACACAGCTAGCTCACCAATATACAGTATTTGCATTATCAGAATACTGGCCCAATCATACAGTATCTCTATTGGGATAGAGAGAGATGTTACCCGTGTAAAAGAAAGCCAAACTGTACAATTCCACACTACAAAAAAAAAGTCCTGATTAAAATGGTTAATATGTGTCACAAAACGGGAAAAATCTTGCAACATTTATTAACCAATAAAGTATTAATACTAGAATACATAAAGTACCATTACAAACCAATAAGCAAAAGCTAAACAATCAGAAAACGGCCAAAAATACTTCAAGAAGAATCCACAAATGACATTAAATAGAATCTAAATAGAATCCAAATGGCAATTTTTTTCATACAATGGTAAGAGAATGTGAATTGGTGCAATCCATCAACAAAAGTTTCTACTATCTTCTACGTACAAGATACATAGACCTCTTAATCCTGTGACCTCACCCAGGGTTATATACTCCAGAAAAGCATGCATATGTACCCCAAGGTTCATATCTAAGAACATGCAGAGCAGCAATTTCTAATAGTTGAAAACAATTTAAACCTTCATCAACAGTAAATGGAGGGGCTGGGGTTGTGGCTCAGCAGCACAGCGCTCGCCTAGCTCACCTAGCACTTGATAGCACTTGCGAGGCCCTGGGTTTGATCCTCAGCACCACATAAAAACAAATTTAAAAAAATAAAGGTATTGTGTACAACTAAAAAATAAATATTTAAAAAAAAAACCAGTAAATGGAAACACTGTGGTATATACATACAATGCAGGAGTGATAATGAACACACTAAATGCAATCACATGAACGAACCTTACAAACCAAAGAGAGAAAAATAAAAAAACAAAAGATTGCATACAGTAAGATTCTATTCATATAGATTAAAAAATCAGACAAAACTATATTTCCTAAAGATGCATATCTGTAAACTTTTTTTTTTAAAGTCCAAAGAACAATGATTACCAAACACACACACACACACACACACACAGATCACAAAAGAGCGAAGTGGAAAGGAATGTGATCAAAATGGGATCTCTAAGGGGCTTCCAGGTGGTGGTTACACAAGTATTTGTTTCAGTGTTACACTGTTCATTTGTTTTACCCCCTTCTATAAATGAGATTACATTTCATAATAAGAGAAAAAAAGTACAATTCTGAGAAAATATATGATTAAAATACAGCATGATCAGTCATATTTTAAAAGTCATAGAAACTTCTGTTTAAATATGCAAGTCACCCTGTGCACTGTGGCACATGCCTGTAATCCGAGTGGCTCGGGAGGCTGAGACAGGAGGATCACAAATTCGCAAGAGCAAGGTGCTAGGCTATTTGGTGAGACCTTCTCTAAATAAAATACAAATTAGGGCTTAGGGATGTGGCTCAGTGGTCCAGTGTCCCCGAGTTTAATCCCTGGTATTCAATAAATAAATAAATATGCAAGCAAGTAAGCAATCCCTAGTACCCAATCAATTAGTCAATCAATAAGCAAGCAAGTCACATGGAAAGATTAGTATTAATTATCATCAAAGTGTCATGAGACAATAAAGTAGGCCTATCCAAGGAGAGCAATAGAATCAAGATATAACTCCCTGTAGTAAATCCAATCACAAAGAGAATCAGAAAACACAGCTCAAATTAAAACTAGAGAGCCTCCAAATTCGGAGCTGAGGAGAAATGAGATGGAATGAACCCCATTTGTAATACTTTAAAAATGCTGTTACTGAAACTTGGGAATGCTGTTTACTGGTAAATATAAACAATATTCTGCCAAGTACCCTAAAGAACTGACGTACATGTGGATTCAAAGTTTGAAGGACAGCAATATTTTTAAGACACACAGACTCCAAGTATGACACAAACCACACTATTGTACAAACTTACTGGGATTAGGAGCTGCTCCAGAGCCAAATGCTGACTGACTAGGCTGTTGTCCAAACACAGGAGGCTGGCTGCTACTTGACACTGTTCCAAAAGTAGGTGGTGCAGGCTGAGACCCAGCAGAAAACAATGTTGTCGAAGATGATATAGATCCAAAGCTTGGGGGATTGGGCTGGCTGGCACCTTGACTCTGTCCAAATGTTGGGGTCTGGTTAGCACCAAATGCTGGACTGGCAGATGGTGCTGTAGGCCCAGTGCCAAATACAAAGGAGGACCCTGGAGGCCAAAGTAATGTGTAAATCATCAAGACGGTCACTACGGTCAGTCCTCAAAAGATTCCATAAACCCTCAAAGTCCATCCTTCTTTTCAGATGCTTACCTTGATTCAAAACAAGTTGTAAGTAAAGATTGAGACTACAACTCTACTCTTATGTACTAAAACAGAATCCACATAAACAGAAATTTCAATTAACATGAATGAAACTCCTCCACCTCATAGCCAAATTTTTTTGGTAAAGGGATACAACTAAAAAGTTAAATCTCCTGGGCCTGGGGCTCAGTGGTTGAGCGCTTACCTAGCACATGCGAGGTGCTGGGTTTGATCCTCAGCACCACATGGAAATGAATAATAAGTAAAGATACTGTGTCCAACTATTACTTAAAAAATATAAAAAGATAATCTTCTGCCAGAAATTCAATACATGAAGAAATAATTACTTGATGCTGTATATACATGTACATATAGAATTCATGAGAACTGAATTCTAATAAAACCACCACCACTGATTACTTATAACTTGACATTTCAAAATGAAAACTCAGAAAAATTAATTAAATTCTTGCAAAGGTTAGAAAAACTGTTGCCAAGAATTAAACATACTCAACCTGAACACAAATTGTACACTATTCTATACAGTAAATGAGTACAACATCCCAGGCACAGATGACCAAAGGCACACATGCCACTGAAGAATGCTGACAGCCTGCTATATTATTTGCTAAGAACAGACATTTTTGTATTCCAGCCAATCTAACTACACAATGTGTTATGTACCTGCAGTGGTTGTAGCTCCAAAGCTGAAACCAGAGGTTGCAGTACTATTACTGCTGGCTCCTGGCCCAAAGACAAATGGGGTAACCACTGTAGCTGTGCTGGATGTGGTTGCTGGTTTGCTATCCTGAGAAAACAGCAAAGACTGAGATGTACTGGATTCAGCACAGTTACCAAAAGCGGAGCTGCTCACAGGATTGCTGACCTGTCCAAACACAAAGGCAGGCACAGGTGGATTGGAGGAAGAAGTGGAACTACCAAATATGCCACCACCAGCTGAAGTGGCTGGTGTACTTGAACCAGAGGAATTATTGTTCAAGAAACTAAAAACTGGCTTTGCTGCTCCTTGATCTGTAAGACAAAATTAAGAAAACAACATTAATACTTAAGTACAAATCATCTCAGAAGGCATTTCCTACACTACAATCTTGGAATTCAATAGTTTTAAAAACTAGAAGCTTGTATTTATATAGATTTATTCACAGAATGATCATCTATTAATTCTAAATTTTGAAAAATATCTTTTCTTTTATAGCTTATAGATATTTCCCCCCACAGGAAGGCTTTTGGCATTCAAGACTTAAAAAATAGATATATTATCCCTCAAATCCAAATATAAATTGATACTGTGTTTGGAGAACAATCCAGATTAGCTGTACTTTTATGTGTTTGATTTCGCAATTTACGTTGAAGTATGCAGTAGAACAACTTCAATTTATCCAAAAGGATTGCTAGTTCTCCCAGCACTATTTACCTCTTACTAACCAATTTGCAATGCTACCTTTATATATACTGTTTCCTCTGATCTTACTGTCATTAGACTGTTTTCATTATTTTAATGTCACATACAGTTTCATAGTAGGACACCCCTGTCTGTGTGCCTGCCCTTCTCCCCAAAATTTCTAATGTTGTTTTCCCTTCCATGTACATTTCAGAACCAGCATAGCTTATAAAGCTCCACAAAAGTTCCTCTAAGAATTCATGTTAAGGGATGTGGAGTAGCTACTCTCAGGAACAAGTACGTCTTTAATGATTACTCAATTATTCTGCATGCTATAAATTCCGCTGATGCTGTAAAATACAAAATTAGAAATGTTAGAAAACACAAATGAGACACGCTATACCACTATTATTGCTGACTTAAAGGAAACCTGATGGTTTTTATGTGGTGACCCTCAATACCTAATAGAGGACTTTTTACTATTTCAATGTTTTCAGTTCCAATACTGCACCACTAGTCAAGGCAGTTCACAGTGTCCTATGGGCATTAGTCTGATTTATAAAAAGCGGAGCCTGTTGGCTCACTTTCATGTTGGCTAACAGGAGGGTGGTTAAAAGCATTTACTATAGTCTAGGGATTGCATGACCAAATTTGATTAGATCTGCTTTGTTCCTTTTCAAAAGAGTAATTTTAGTTGTGATTTTCTTTGTAGGTTGCTTTTAAATTTCCAAGAAAATATCTAATAGAAAAAATTGCTTGCAACTATTTGATGAATTCCACATTATTTAGGTTCTTGTTTTGAGTATTTTCTAATTTATTGTTAAAAAGTGTTACTAATGGGTTTTTTAATTATACCTTGCATGTCTGAAATACCTGTATTTTGTCTGGATAAATTCGGCTTATTACAGAATTCTAAGTCCAAAACCATTTTTATTTTGAGGGCACTGCTCTTTTGTTTTTTTACTGTTTGATGCTGGCAAAGGAGAAGTCTAATGTTACTCTGATACCTGTTTGTTTATGGCAAACAGCTTTCCTCTTTGGAAGTGTTCAGAGTTTCGGCTTTGGTGTCCTAAAACTCTCTGATCTTTGTCAATTAGTATGGACCTTTCCTTTTTTTTTTCCTCCTGGTACTGGGGATTGAACCCAGGGCCTTGTGCATGCAAGGCAAACACTCTACCAACTGAGATATACCCTGAGCCCACCTTTCCATTTTTAAGACAGGTCTTTCTTTATATCTAGAAAAACTTCTGTCACTTACTTGACATCTCCCGGGTACTGTTCTCATCTTCTAAGAACTCCTATTTTAATGGAACTTACTGTAGATCTAGTTTATATCAATATCGATTTTTGCAATGTGTTCTGGGAAATTCCATTTCACAAATCTGATTATCACCTGTGTTCTTTCTGCTACTAAATCCATATAATGGCTTTAAGTTCAATAACCATGCTCTTTACTTTTAAAAATGCCATTTTTATTTCTTTTTCTTCAGGACTTTTGTTTCAGAATTGTCTCTGTTTTCTCAGGATTTAATTATATTTCTAGGCTGTGTTCCTTAAATGTCTGATGATAAATGTTAACTATTTGTAACTGAAGGACTTCACATAAAAATCATACAATATTTCATAAGCTTATTTAAAATACCTACTTTTCTAGATAGTATAATGCCAATTCTGGTTATAAAAGCCCAAGTAGAAGGCCCAATTATGAGGGAGAAAGACAAAGATACACTATTATGAGCTTTCCATTAGAGCTGTTATTTCTTAAAATTAGACCTGCAGTTAACTTCATTAGAATCATGAGGGTTTGGAGTAATTAAAACTGAAAATCCCATCTGTCCTCTATAGCTGGTACTCTATCAAGCATGTTCTATGTAACCATTCCTTGACCTACTGCATTTATGGAAATATTAAAGACCCTTGTAAAAATTTTCTAATATTTACCAACTGTAGTATTGGTTTGAGCTCCAAAAGCAAATGTAGACTTTGCTGGTTGATCAGATTCCTTCTCAGATGGTTTTGTCATACTGAAACTAAATGTTGACTTTGAAGAACTCTCATCTTTGGTTTGCTCTGAATTCCCAAAGGAAAACACTGGTTGACACTTCGGCTCTTCATTGTCAGCTTTCTTCCCAAAAACCAGAGAAGTAGAAGTGACGGGCTCTTGTTGCTTCTCTTCTGTCCTTCCCAAAACAAACATGGAGGCAGAAGGCAGAGAGGAAGGTTCCATGTTGCCAAAAGTGAACCCTCCCTTGGTTGTAGGCATTTCTTCCTTTTTAGCTTCTGTCATTTTACAAGTGAAAGGAGCCACTGAGACACTCTTGGTTTCTATGGTTCCAAAACTGAAGCTGCTCTTATTCTCAGAGGTCACCACAGTTTCAGTAGCAACAGGGGTAGGGTTAATAACACCCGTACCAAAGCTAAAGCCTGCAGGTGAAGATTTAGGCAGTTCCTCTTTCTTTTCTTGCTGCCCAAGATTAGACACTCCAAACTGAAATGAAGCTGATGAAGCTGGGATGCTTGAACCAGAAGAAAGTCCAAATTTAAAATTATCATTCTTACTGTCTTTTTTAACTTCTTCAGGTTTAGAATCTGATGAAACTCCAAATTTAAAATCCCCAGTAGGTTTAGAAAATTTAAAGCCTTCACTGATGGGGTTTATAGATCCAGAGTCAGATGATACACAAGGCCCAGAAGATGATGGGATACCAAATTTGAAGGACGTAGTTGATGGATTCAAAGACGAGGATGATGTGCCAAAGCCTTCAAAAATATAAGACGCCACAAAGACACTGAATCAATGCACTCATCCTTTCACAATGTAAACATTAAAAGCCAAAATGACATAAAAACAACTTTGAAAAGGCCTACTTTGAAGAGTATTACCAATGGTAAAATAAAATATGAACCAAACTGACAAATACTCAGTATAAAACTTATATCTCAATCCTCAACTATACTGATCTGCCACTTTCCATCTATGGGAATGGCAGAGATCAAAAAGGTTTGATAAAGTTTTTAGTGGTGATGACACTGGGAACATCCAACACTCTATTGTAGATCAAAGTATAAACCAGCACGAGCAATGTGGGATGAGCAATTTGTCAATATTTAACAAAAATTATACCCTTTTACCCCAGAAATTCTATAGCTAGGACTTTGTTTTAAAGACAAACTAACAGGCATGCAAAATAACATGCAGTCCAGGCAACTGCTAAAGAATGAAAAACAAATATGTCCAAAATAATCCATAATAAATCAAGAAGGCAGAAAGAAAGTGAGGTAAACAACTTTTTCTTACAAGGTAGAGGGAAATCAGAACACAAATAGGAGCGTGTTTGCTTAGAATGGGTATAAAGAAATTAGAAGATTAAAAAAGGCCACAGCTATCACCTTTGGGAGGATGAAGATTTGGAAAAATAAAAAATAGCAACAAGAGAGCAACTTTTCATTGTGAATCTTTGTCACAATTTTCTTTTAACTGTGAATGTTCCTTACTTGAGCGTTTAAAAAATTTTAGCAACAATAAACAAGAAAAATTAAATGACCTGAAGCAATATTCATAAAGATATAGTATTAAACTGAGAAGATCAAAATCGGTCTCTTGCTGCTTTCCTAAAGCTGAAGAATCTAAAAATACAGTGCAAGGTTCAAAGAGAACCATTAAAAGTTGCTAAGATATGCATATATTACTTACCCATGAGTAAATTAAAAAAAAAAAATCAGCCACACTTTTTATAAGCCCTCCTCCTCAGATCTCCCCCTTTAATGATTACCCACCAACCTCACCTTTCATTAGGAGAAACTCAATTGGAAAACTACATGAGAATCTTAGGCAAGTGGCCATATACCTGCTCTCTACACTACTAAATAATACTGACAGAATGCTAAAAATAAAGGGGCCAAAAATAGGAACTAATTACTTCTTTCTATGGGCAGATTTAAAATATGGTGGTCACTGAACCACAGGCAGAGAATGTGGTAAAGTAAATGTGGAGCAACAGCTAAAAAATGAGGTTAAATGGCATGGAAAACAATGATCTTCCAAATCAACCAGATGCAATGGTTTTCAAAATGACAGTGGTATTTCATTAGTCATCCAATTAAATGCTGACTGTGGCCCACTAAAAGAGAACAGAAAACACCAGGGTACTGCATATATTATTATTTTGTAAAAATGTTATTTCAATCATATAGACAAATATGATGTGGGTATGATGAGACAAAATATAAAAGTTCATATCTAACTTTGATTTTTCAGTCAGAAGAGTTAGAAAGCTGCTGGGAGCCATTAGCCAAGTAGGTATGACAATTTCCTTGCCATCGTACCCCATGTTGCTTAGTGGAAGGACTCGTGGAAATAGGACATTTTGCAGTGACATTGCAGTTAGGTGACCTTGCTCAAGGACCAGGGCGGATTAGGGTGTTCCCCGTTTAGGATAATCGGGTTTAGGGCGTTCCCGGTTTAGGTTCCAGGTTTAAGGTTTAAGATTATTCCTGCTGGGAATAGGGCGTATCCTGCTGCCTGTTCCCCTTGAGTTCTCACGGGATTCAGACAGTATTTTTTGGGAGACAGAAGCCCAGTGGATGTGGATTTGGGCAGAGAACGTGGATTTCCCCAGAACGTGTTTGTAGACGGCTGGTGTGAGTTCGGGAATAAAGAGTTGCTGTTTGAATCTACAAGCTGTGTGGTGGCTCGTGATTGTGTGCCCAGCCAGACTGCGGCAGAAAGCCACCAGTCTGAGGCAAATTAGAAAATAAGAGAAAGCCTGGGTTTTGTTTGTTTGAGTACTGGGGACTAAGCTCAGGGGCGTTTTACCACCAAGTTACATTCTCAGCCCTTGTATTTTCTATTTTGACATAGGGCCTTGCTGAACTGCTCAAACTTGAGATCCTCCTGCCACGATTATGGTACTCTTTTAATTCCTCCATATTCCCACCTTGTCAACTTACTCTCTTACAGATTAAAATCTTTCTCACTTCTCCCTGACTGGTCCTTCTGATATTAAAATTTCTTTTTTCCCCCAGGTTTATCAAACTTTTGACTGAAATGTGTACATAATTAACAAAATATTCAAGAGTTCATTTTCTGGGTCATATGCTGGGGAACCAAAGCCCAAAGCTATATTACCTATATATAATAAGGTCGTAGGTCTGTATAAATAAGAGTGTGTTAAATAAGAGTCGGAAAACTCATCTAGAGAGTTAACATTTAAAAGCAACAACCATGTAAACGTATGATTATGTAACAATGAATACCACCATTGCAGACATCTATAATGCACCAACTTTAAAAAATGAAAAATAAAAACACTACTTTCTTTCAATAACAAGAGGTCATAATGATCTACAACTAATTTGACTTAATAATTCAGATATATGTGAATTAAAAAGATCTAAGGATAATATTCCATTTTATATGAATTTAATAGAGAATGAATAACTTTTTAAAAACTTCAGCTGTTTGTAAATACTGCACTTTAAAACAGCATTGTAAAGAGGCATTCCATTATCTTACCTTTAAACTCAGCTTTCGTGCCTGGCTTTGCACTTTCACATGCAACACACTTGCTAGAGTCGGCTTTATTCTGGACTAGGCACACTTCACAGTCCCAGCTTCCCTCAGGTTTTTTGAACTTCTCCAATCCTAGGCAGCCTCCAGAAGACAGAGAGACAGGCACAGTGTTGCTACTTGAAGCAGGTATTGAACTTCCTAAAAAGTAATAGGGAAACTCATGAAAATTTAACTATATTGTGTCAGCATCTTAATGATATTTTTAAGTGTTCAATGTTTATTAACTTTTCATATTAAGAAACCGAACATGCCAGAAAAAAACTCTAATGATCAGCTTGCTCTAACCTTGCTTAGTGATGAATTCCTTAACCTCAAATTTGAATTGTTGTGATTTAAAAAAAAAAAAGTCATGCTCTCAAATTAAGAGGCTAAAAGGACGATGATGGCTAGCTGGGATCCTGAAGCAGAAGGATCCCAAATTCAAGACCAGTCTTAGCGATTTGGACCCTGTCTCAAAATACAAAACAAAAAAAAGACTGTAGATAGGTAAGATTTCATCAATAAATGGCCCCTGGGTTCAATCTTTAGTATTGAAAGGTCAATTTCTTAAATAGCACAGTGTTTTTAAGACACAAGATGCAAACTATAGGCAATACCCTAACACAAAAAATACATAGCCATATACCATATTCGTTGTAAGATCTCAAGGCACAAGTCTCTGCATTTGAAATGATTGTTTTTGCACAGAAAACAATCATCCACTTTACAATTCAACCCTACACTCCATTACATGCTAACCATTTATTAAACACCAGAATATAGTTGGGTTCTGGGAACATCAAGTTGAGTAAAATAACATTTAATTCCTAAGGTAGAGGAAAATTAAACAAACTCATGGCAGCACCATCATCATGTGATAAATGACCTAAAACAAGTGTGCAAAGGAGGAAGAAATGATGAAGAAGCATGGAAGGATTCCCAGAGATGATAATTACATCTTTTAAAAAGAACCAGCATGTTTATGGGTAAAGTGGCTTGGGAAGAAGGGCTCACCCAAGCACAAGGTATGAAGACATAGCAAGAGAGCCCGGCCATTCCTTCTACCACCACCACTTCTCTAAATGGTTGCAACTGTTGTCGATTCTCCCAGTTAACTAAATAATTTCTATATTGTATAGGCATGTTCTGTTTTGTTTTCTTGCCAATACAACTGCTCCCTGGGTTCCATTTCTGGTCCACTGTCCTGTCATCTACTCTAGTGGTCTTAGACAACAAAATGACAGTTTTTTAATCTGTACCTGCCTCCCACACTTGTCTTCTGAGCTGTCACTGTAGTCTTTGTTGGTGGTTCTGCTAATCCACTTGGTTAGTATGTCTAAATGGCTCCTTCTCCCTTAAATATTTCTCAAATTTATTTCAATCTTTCTCTGATACTTCCACTATTCTGGTAAGTTTCCCCCTCATCTGTTGTTGAAATCCATTCTCCTCAGAGGCAATTACTGTCATGCAGTTTTGTTTTTCCTCTGATTGCTCCTTTAAAAGATTAACTGTGCAATTTTTATTCCTACCGCTTCCTAAATTAGCAGTTAGTTTGGGCTGCTTTCTCTATTTACTCCACTCACCTCTATTCCCATGACTTTGATAACTTCAAATAACAAAAGACTCCCTCATCTTATCTCCAGCTCTGAGGGTCAATGATCCATATCAGCATATCCAAAGGGCTCACATGTATTTATGTCAAAATCAGCAACTTGAAATTAACATGCCTTCCAATGTACATTATTCTATATCCCTCCCTCCTAGATTTGATTCCCTTAGTACACACAATCATTATCTATTGCATGTTATTCATAGGACTAAGAATATTACAAATTCTATTGGCATCAAATCCATTAGCCAAAAACCTAGAGTGATTTATCAAAAAAATACAAATTTGAGTCATTCCTATGGTGAAAATGATCATTCATCATTTTCTGGATAAAGTTCAAGTTCTTTTGTACCTCTATAAGACTCCTTTGTTCATGGGTAAAAGTTCCCTTACTGAGGATTCAAAGTTTGATTACTCTTTTGTCAATTTAATCAATTCTGGTTTCCTCAATGTATCAAAGACTTTAGTAAGGAAATGATGCCAGATGGGAAGAAAAAGCTATTTCGGAATGAAGACTCTGAAAACTTAGTGTTGTGGAGATATCCGGCATGAATTAGAAATATGGCTCAAGTGCTGAGGCAAAGAGTGTGGCTAGTAATGCAGCTTCACTTTACAAACACAAAAGGAGGAGCTGGGGCTGTAGCTTAGTGGCAGAGAGCTTGCCTTGCACATGTGAGGCACTGGGTTTGATCTTCAGGACCACATAAAATAAATAAATAAATAAAGGCAAACAAATAAAATAAAGGCATGGTGTCCATCTACAACTATAAAAAAAAAAAAACCACACACACACACATACACACAAAAGAACACATCCATAAGTAGCACAATAAAAACAGGGAAGTATAACTGTCAGAACATTCATGTTCTATTCATATCTACATCACTATATCTGTATCATAAAATTATATACTAGTATTACAAAACAAGCAAAGAGTCACTTCCAAATGAATTAAGATGTGAATCTTCAGTACTCAATTTTGAACAGAGAAACAGAAGAAACTCAATTAACTCCATTTTTCTAGCTGTTAGAATTTTTTGCATTAATATTTCAAAAATCTACTATCACTGCAACATTGCTGACAAACAGCATGTGACTACAGGTATCAATACTGCTCAGCTACAGCCTTTTCATAAAGCGTCAGTGTTCACCCCTTAAAGAAACATCCCTATAAATGACAAAATTATCTTTATTTCTACTTAGAGAAAGAGAAAAATAACATTTCATTCTGTGAAGATTTGAGAGAGACTGCCCCATTCTGAAAGCTTTCAACATCTACATTACGCAACATTGAAAATTATCAGGAAGGGGGCTGGGACTGTAGCTCAGCGGTAAAGTGCTTGCCTCGAATGTATGAGGCACTGGGTTCGATCCTCAGCACCACATAAAAATAAAGATACTGTATGTTCATCTACAACTAAATAAATATTTTTTAAAAAAGAAAGAAAATTATCAGGAAGAGCAAAAAGCTTCTAATAAAAGCACATAGAAAATGGAGGTCAGAGTATATGCTGGACACACAACCTACCCAAGCAAACATGAAGATCTAGCCCCTATCAAGTCATTTTAACCTCAAGATGGTTTAAAAAAAAAAAAAAAAAATCAACATATGAGGAAATGCTCATCTTGAACCATTTAAAATACTGAGATTGTTCTTAGCTGTTTTTACAGAATAAATTAAAACACCCTACTAAAGTAATGAGTAAAATTATTCCATATAGCCATAAACGTACCTGGTTTCTCAGAAGTGCAGGACACGCATTTGTTGTCTTCTGCATTGTTAGAAACACAGCAAACTGGACACTCCCAAGACCCCACAGGCTTTTTGAATTTATCTCCAAATCCTAAAGAACCAGATGCCACAGTACAGCTGGAAGATGACGCAGCCATGGTCCCAGCACTTTCTGAAACCACTGTCAATGTGAGCACACGCTTCACACCAGTGCCAGGTTTCGGTGTTTCACAGGCTACACATTTCATTGCTTCCGGTTTATTTTGCACTAAACAGGTGTCACAATCCCAAGTTCCTGGTTTAAATTTGTCTCCAAAGCCTGTAGCCGACGCAGAAAGAGTTGCTTTGCCACTTTTGGTTGGTGTCCCACTTCCAGTTTGTTTGGCAGTTTCCCTTGATGGCAATTTTGCTGCTTCACAGGCTATGCACTTGTTGTCTGTAACTTTGTTCTGGAGTAGACACGTATCACACTGCCATGATGATCCACCCTTTAAATTCTCCCCAAACCCAATTCCACTCAAAGAAAATGTACTTATTGCTGGTCTTGTATAAACTACTGGGCTTGTTGTGGTAGACTGAGCAGCAAGAGGATCTACCTTTGGCGATGTGAAACCTACAATGGAGAAAAAGAGCAGAGAGTTTTTAAAAAGAGAAGTTTTCCAATCAAAACGTTAACTGCAACATTATTACAGAGGAAAAAAACATCTAACTTCTTGCAAAGTTACTACAATACCAAATGGACTGCTTTTAAGGATTGTTTTTCATACATATTTATTAAGAGCATAAATAAGCAACATCTATACAAGTTAAAATTCTACAAGATTTTTTTTTTTTTAAATAAGCATACATCACCTTCTCCCTCATGGAATTTCTAATATACTGATGTACACTATTGTCATCCACATTTTACTGCAGTCTGCCTTCCCAAAATATTAAACTACAGCACAGTCCTAATGTTCCCTCATGTCTGTCCCTTCATTTGGGTGTTCTCTGGGCCCAGCCAAACAACTTCAATACCTACAATTTTTTAATGCTATCCAGTCTTAATCCACTGTTGTGGTAACCTCAACCATCAATAAAACCAGCTAAACTGAGCTGAGCAGGCATGATTATTTGATAAGTATCCCTCAAAGTACAACAAGGTGCTAAGGAATATTTGTAACTATATTAAACTCACAAAAGGGTTAGGGGTTATGGCTCAGTGGTAGAGTGCGCGCCTTGCACTTGTGAGGCACAGGGTTCAATCCTCAGCACCACATAAAAATAATAAATAAATAAGTAAATAAATAGTTAAAGGTGTTGTGTTGTCCATCTACAACTAAAAAAAATTAAAAAAAAAACACAGAAAAGCTTTAAACTATGTTTCAATAACAAATGATACTATAACCCAACTAATAAGTCCTAGAAATATAAAAATGATTAAAACCCAGTTTTTTAATCCTCATTGAACAGCAGCTGATGTTACTCAAATACATGTTCACATGTGGTTCGTAAACAGTAACTCAAACACAACTCAAAATATATTTCTAATATAATCTCAGAATCCTTTCATAATTGTCAAGTATCTTTTTTTTAAAATATCATTTTTAGTTGCAGTTGGACACAATACCTTTATTTTATTTACTTATTTTTATGTGGTGCTGACGATCAAACCCAGGGCCTTGCATGTGCTAGGCGAGTACTCAAGAACTCTACCGCTGAGCCATAACCCAGAGCCAGGTGTATCTTTTTGTAAAAATGGAAGGAATATTTAGACAATTAGGGTATTTTCAAAGCAGTCATTGAATTGATTCACTCAAGCTATATTTTATTCATGAGAATGACTTTCTAATCCTTTCCTGGGGACAACAAACTTTTAGTTTCTACACAGCAACACTATCACCAAAGAAAGCATTAGAAGGGAAGACAATATAGAAGGTCCTTACAGGTTTTCTACTGGTATCAAGAAATAATCAAGCCTATAGCTACTTTAGCATAATGGCAAAATGATACCATATATTTCAGTCACTCCCAGCAGTCAACAATGTTGGTTTATTAAATTTATTTTCCTTTTCATTGTCACTCAAATAAATTTTATAAGAAGATTCTTATAAAATTTTTCCTATTTAAGCTGGACCTGGTGGAACATATATCTATAATCCTAGTGACTCAGGAGGCTTAGGCAGGAGGATCACAATTTCAAGGGAAGCCTGGGCAACTTAATGAGTCTGTGTCTCCCAATAAAAAATAAAAAGGGTTGGGGATGTCGTTCAATGGTAAAGTATCCCTGGGTTCAATCTCTAGTACAAAATAAAATAAAATACTTGAAAAATGTTCCTATTAAAAAAGTTAAAAGGGGACCAGGCTGAGAAACAAAGTGCAACCCTAAATACATGTATAGGGCAAAACAATACACCCCCCCATTCTAGGGACTGAATCCAGGGCTTCACATATGCACTCTATTTTTCAGACACATCCCAGTCCAAAAAACTATACAGTTGCTGCTTATCTACTAGTTAGCTAATAATTCTACTTTTTAGATCATAATACAGTCATTTATTACCACTGACTAATAATTTTATTATAAGCAAGCATTCTGGAATTAAAACTAACTCAATTACCGGAACCCTATAGGTAGTATACACAACCAATGAAATAAGAAAGCAGAATCAAACAACCTAACCCTAAAACTTGTTGTAGAAGCCAAACTTATTACATCCTCTGTTTAAAGACTTGGACTCATCCCATTCTATACCTGCTTTACCCTGATTTGTTCATTATACTACTGTACCCCAGGATACAAACACTGTGTTGATTAAAAAATAAAATAAACATCAAGTCTTATTTCAAGTGAATACAATTTCCTACATATTTGTGTTAAAATTCAGCAAATTTGGCCTCATTCTATATGTACCAATCCAGGGAATAATGTGAGAAGGCAGTTTAGTTCTTTCAAAGACGTAATAGGTGTTATAGCCAAGTTTACTCTTATTCAATATTGGCCCATCTCAGTTAATAGAAAACTCATATTCTCTTTCTATACTTGCCTCTTAAAGAGATTTCTTTATTATATACAGAGATCTTGAATTCTAAAGTAGTATTTCTAAGATATTTCCCATGGAAGAATTAGATATCACTAAATCTACATTCAAAATTCAACATCTTATCAAATTATTGGTAGTTATTTTTTTAAAGGAATCCACATTATAACACAAATAACATTAAAATGAAATCAAGGGAGTTTAAAATTAAGATTTTTTTTTTTAACTATCTCAAGGGCTACTATCATCTTACCAGGGCTTTTCAGAACATCTAGAACACTTCCTTCTTTCAGGATTTTTACAGGTCTAAAAAGGCCCTCATAATCTTCATTTCGCTTCTGACAGCTTGTGCTGTTCACCACAGTGATATCTTGAGCTGTAATTTTTTTTTAAATCATAAAAAATATTATGCCAAGGAAAGCACTGGATTCTTGAACTAAATGCATTTTAAAAATCTAAGCCCTTTTAGATCAATTTCTAAAACTTTGATAGTCACTATAATTCAAAAATAATGAGCAAACATAATTTACCATTATAAGGAGATAAAAATCCTTTCCCCTCACCACCCCACATATCACAAAAAGGCACAGAAGTATAAATTACAACTGTTAGCAAGTAAATTCATTAGAAGAAAATTAAACGGAAACACTGGGGATACAGCCACTGGGGCAAAACTGCTTAAAATAATGTATTTGATTGCTCAGCAATTTAAAATAGTGATTTTAAAAAAAAAAAAAAAACCTAAAACAAATTCTCAGAGACAGTTATTTCTTGTCCAGAAATTCATGCAATGACTAAAAATATCCTTCGGTTATATTAAAAATCTGTATGATGCAGTATCAATAAGGGTCTGGTTACATCAATTGCCTATAACAGTGACATAATAAAATGCATATTTGCTGAATGATAATGCATGATAAAATGCATATGCTAAAAAGCATAGTTGTGGGCAAAAGCGGGTTAGAAAGTCCAGAAAATTTAGAATGTTTCTATCTAAAAATTAATGGTGGCTGCTAGTGGTAAAATGAATTCATATTCATTGTTTTTACAATCAAAATTAAATTGTTTTTAGTAAATTTAAGGTAAAGTTTTAGGAATACCTGAAGCGCACTCAAAGAGACAAAAAGAAGAAAATGGGAAAACTAGCTCCTGTCACAAAATAATTAATCATGACTTCCACATTTTCAATCAGCTTTGCTAAATGATAGAAGTGATGAGAACCAGGGCGCACGCCTGTAATCCCAGCGACTTGGGAGACCGAGGCAGGAAGATCGCAAGTTCGAGGCCAGCCTCAGCAATTTAGCGAGACCCTGTCTCAATATAAAAAAACACAAGGGCTGGGGATGTAGCTCAGTGGTAGAGCACCCCTGGGTTCAATCCCCAGTATCAAAAAAAGAGGAAAAAAAAATGGTGAGAACCAAAGGTGTTAAAGTGACAATACACAATTTTGTAGATGCCACTCATAAATTTACTCGTAAACACTCCTAAAAAAAAAAAAAAACAACTGGGTAATTTCTCACAAAATAAAAAGCTGTTTTAATAAATTGTTACCCATTCAGTTACCACTACTAAAGCATTAGTAAAATCCGGAAAGGACTTTAATACCTTTCCTCATAACAAGTCATGAGAGGTTTACTACATAATTCAAAGTTTAATCCGAAAATTTTATGGTAAGAAGTACAACTGAAAAGTCTGCCACTTTTTATTACTACAGCTGTTTGATTTTAAAAAAAGGTAACAAAAAAATTTAGAATCACAAACTTAGCAGGCAAAGCTCTCTCTCCAACCTCACAATAATTTTTTTGATATTTACAAAGAATGTAATGCTTTTTCTTTTGTTACTGTACCCTTTCCCTTGGCTTTATTTCTTGGGGAAAATGCCCTTGTTCAGAATTCTTATCCTAAGTAGCACAGTCCATGTGAAAAGAAAACAACTACTACTATAACAAGATCCTATTTTAATTATCTAATTCCTTTTCCTCAAATATGTCAATTTTTTTTTCAGTTCAGAGATTATGTATCATCATCTGCAAAGGCCAGCATAACCTTTACAAATGAAAATGCTTATGAAATGCTCAGTAAACCTGGAGATGAGATCCACCACAATTATACTGTAGACAAATTTACAGTAAAACTAAGTTCAATTTATAACTTGCTCAGTATTTTGACTAAACACAGAGAATAAATTTGTTATGGTGACTGTCCTGCTGAAAAACCATTAATAGAAAGTATTATTAGAAAGCAACAACTTCTTTTCAGAGCTAACTTCATTCAAGTGAAAGCACTTAGAAGAATTACCAAAGGTGAAAGAATTTGAAATACTATGCTAATGAATACAATTGTGTTTTTGCAAAAATATGTGAAAAAAAATTTTACTTACCAGAACTACTTATACTTGGTTCTGAAGTACTAGTGGAGCCAGAAAATTCTGTTTTTGCAACAGGCACACTAAATGTAAATCCAATCTGTAAAAACAAAAAAGTCTTCTTAAGTGTCAACTCATTTCTAAACAAATAATACTTTATTATAAGAATTTATACACACACACTAAATTTCACCTATATAATTTCCACAATATCTAAATCTGGGATTCATAAGCCAGTCACTGTGGTTTTTACCTATAGTAACAGCACTAAGGAAGCTGAGGCAGGAGGATCATGTGAACCTAGGAATGAGACCAGACTGCTGACTGGGTAACACAGCAAGACCTTGTCTCAAAAAAAAAAAGGATTTCTTAGGCCTTATTTTCCCCCTTTCAAAACATTCCAGAAAATAATGCTGCATTCCTAATGCCCAGTTTCTGAATGCAATATTTTTTTTATTAAAAAGTATGAGTTGGGGGATAACTGATGGGTTTCCGGCAAGCAGCAAGGAAATTATACTTGATCTGTTACACTAGTTGGGACCAAAAAAAAGAGGAGACAAAAACAGAAGGCAAAATTTACAAAATGCCAAACCTGGAACAAAATGTACATTAAATTTATGCATTATTCTCTTTCAAAATGTTATTTAATCATGAACAAATATATGTTGCATGACCAAAAAAGCCCAGAACTTTTCTAGATTAAAAGGTCACTTATCAGGGCTTGGGTTGTGGCTCAGCATTTCCCTACATGTGTGAGGCACTGGGTTCAATTCTAAGCACTGCATATAAATAAAATGAATAAAATAAAGGTCATTCAACAATTAAAAATACATATGTATTTTTTTAAAAAAGGTCACTCAACAGATCTATTAAGTACATGCAGCGTAATTCAGTAATTAGGTCCTAGTCTTTATCTGGATCTAGGGCCAACAGACATAAAACATCAACTAATTGACAGTCTAGGGACAATGGGAAGTCTAAATATGAACTGTATTATAAAATCATGATAAAATTTCTTGGGTATGATAACTATATTAAATGGAGCAAAGGAATATCCCTTTTCTTAGAGGTCACAGAGAATGAGAATTAACTATCAAATGGTATATGCAATTGTTCACTTACCTTTTCTGTACTATGAATATTTAAGTTGGAAACAAAAAAATAACGTTTCTTATTACCAATGACATCACAGATTTGATAAAATACAGTACAGCTTTGAAATAGTTTATATTTATAAAATACAAAATATGTGCTTTATTAATATATATATTAAATATGAAGTATTTATTACTACTTACAGAGGATGGAGGTAGTACATCTGCCTCAGTAGACTTTACAATTGGAGATGAAAATCTAAACATGGGACTTCCAGGGCTGCTTGGAGATGTCATTTGTACCTGGTTTTCCAAATTATTAAGAAATGACACAAACAAAGCTATTTAGGAAAAGAAACTGTTAATAAAACATACCTTCAGAAAATTATTTCAAAAAAATTCAGGTTTTTTTTTTTTGCTTTTAGAGTTAAAAATCACAACTTCTGAAAAACACTGTGAGTTTCTTCTATAAAATCTGGCTGCCTCTTAGAAAAGGAATATATACAATCTTAGAGCTGGATAGTTGCCTACATGAGAAAAATAAACTACATGTTGAGAAAAAGTGAAAGTAAGGAACAAGGGACGGGGCACAGAGGCAAACTAAAAGATATTAATCCTAACTGAGAAAGTAAAGACATAACATCTACTCCTACCCCCACCAAGTCTCATTGGAAATATTGTTTGGAAACAAATTAATCTTTTTTCTCTAATGCACTGCATAAGAGTTAAAGAATTCCATTGTAATGTATATAAAATATATTTAAATTTTTAATATTAAGACATCATTTTATTTTTCTTTACTTTGAGTTATTAATTTCCATAAAGAAATTAATCACTGCTTTAAAATAAGCATTTTAAGAAGTACATCACCTCATTTATACAATGGCTCTGTACCTTGTTTGTTAACGACTGAGAAGGACCGATGGGTGACAGAGAGGAAGTTGTGATTGCTGGAGAACTAAAATTGAAGGTAGGCAGTGAAGAACCGGTGATTGGTAGGGGTATTTTCGGTAACACTGGTACTTCCATTTCCTAAAACACAGCATGTATTATAATGACAAGTTTGCATCTTCATCATCATTCTTTTACCCCTACTCTTTATTTTCAGGTAGAACTGATGAAGTTAAGATAAATTTAGATTACAAAGAAGGTAGCACCATATAATATTAGCAATGTAAGCTCTCAAGTTAAAAAACAAGATCTGAATCCCAGGTTTATGTCACCAACTGCCATATAACTCTGAGAGCTTAACTACCCTCAGCACCAATTTTTCTAATTGGCAAAAATGAGAGGAAAGATTCTTACTCTACACATAACAGTGGTAATAATGCAAAACAAAATTCTATATTGTCTTTGCATTAAAACAAACAATAACTACCAGAACCCATGAAGTCTAGTAAATTGCTTTGGTTTCTAACCAATAGAGCAAAGATCATCCCAAGTTTCCAATGACCCAGATTAAGAACACAGAGTCACTTGTACTAGTTGGTAGTGGAGTACTTTATGTGACCAATGCCTTGGAAACATAAAAATATAGGAGAAAACGTGTTAAAAAAAAAAGTCAACACCAAATATTTGGAAATACTGAAAAGCAAGGAAAAAAGTAGGTAGGAAAGGGCACTGAGTGAGCATCCTGTTCTCTTTGAGTTAGTGACTGAGCAACTGAAAACTTGACAGAATACTGAAAACCTGTTAGCTGACTAATCAGAAGACAGTGTGGCAAGACCACAACAGTTAGAAATGAGGGGAGATGAAAAAATGAAAAGCCACAGAAAGAAATCCCCAAGTCTGAATGCAAACCACTCAAATCTGCTAAACCTGAAAACTCCACAGGTTTTAAAGCAGACACCAAGGAACCTCACTGGAACTAGAGTTTAAACTGCTGCCCACCAGAGGAGAAAGAGTTTTAGTTCCGGTAAGTTCACTGCCAGCTAAAACAATCTGAAAAGTTCATAGTACATAAATCACAACTCAATTAAGTTGATCTAAAAATCAAAGCAAAAATTGACACTTCCATTTTTCCCTCCAGATAAAATAAATCTAAGAATTTATAAATTTGTCGCCATAAAACTTGCTTTATAATTTCTTCAGGCTGAAGTGAAATGATACAAAATGGAAACTCAGATTGGGAAGGAAATGAAGAATACGTAGGCAAAATTAAAGCACTTTTCTTTTTTAGTTTCTTTAAAATATATATAACTATATAAAAAACAAATAGAAGGCTGGGGTTGTAGCTCAGTGGCAGAGCACTTGCCTACCATGTGTGAGGCACTGGGTTCAATTCTCAGCACCATATATGAATAAAAAATAAAGGTCCATTAACAATACAAATATAAAACTAAAATTTTAAATGCCCTTAAAAAAAAAAAAAGAAAAAGAAAAGAGGATATACTGTGGGTTTACAGTCTGCCTAAATGTAAAATGAAATGATACATATAGCATAAAATGCCAGGGATGAATAGTAGCAAATATGAACTATATAGTTGCAAGATACTTAGATTTTATAGCAAGTGGTACAAAAGTAACAGTCTGAAAAAAAGATACTAACAAAAAAGGTAAAGCTAAAAGATAAATTAAAATGAAATTCTAATAAATAATTGATTCACACCAATAGAGGCAGCTTTCAAAAGAAACAAACAACAACAACAACAAAAAAAAAAACTGGGAAAATGGTAGACCTAAATCTAACCACATCAATAATTACATTAACTATAAAAGAATTAAATATTCCAATTAAACATCTAAACTCAAGTATATGTCATATATTTAAAAACTTACTTTAAATATAAAAAGACTGAAAACATATGGATAGAAAAGGATATAAACTGTAATTACCTATGCATAAAATGTATTCTAGTAAGAATTCAGCACTTATTATTAATGCCAGACAGAGAAAATTTCACGACAAAGAATATTCTTAAAGATCTTTTTGGACATTTGATATTAAAAGATCAACTCATTACACGCTAAGGTGTGAGCTCTTAATGAGAGCCTCAAAATATATCACACAATAATTGATACAATTAAGGGGAAAAAACAATCTGAATATATATATAAAAAGTTGTCAATTTTAAATCTTCACCTACAACAACAGACTAACAATACTTCCTTCTCGAAAAATAAATAAATAAAGAGGGCTGGGGATGTGGCTCAAGTGGTAGCACGCTCGCCTAGCATGCGTGAGGCACTGGGTTCGATTCTCAGAACCACATAAAAATAAAAAAATAAAGATAACAAAGTTTAAAAAATAAATAAAGAAGATCTAAGAAATACCAATCACCTGTTGATATCTAAAGAACACTACACCCTCAAATTACAGTATATTCTTCAAACAGAACATATGTTGCACTATATTAAACAAATCTCCATTCAAGTTTAATTAGAAATCCACAACCCAAATATTTGGAAATTAAACACACTGCTAAATAATGCCATGAGTTAAATTTAAAAAAAAATAATAATAAGAAGAAGAAATTTGGTGGGGGGGGAATAGGACAAAAACAAAAACCCAAAACCAGGAAGCACAAACACAGATCTTCTAGAAGAAAACAATATCTTTGCAGCCTGGAGAAAGACAATGGTTTCTTAGCATATAAAGAACTGCAAAAACAACAGGGGAAAAATATCAGACTTTATAAAATTTGGCAACTGCTGATCAAAAGACACTGTTGAGAAAATGAAAAGCTTAGACTGGTAAAAAAGAAATGTATATGACAAAAGTCCTTGGGACCTTTTACAACTAAAGATAAGACAACCCAATTTTGAAAAAGACAAAGATCTGAGCAGACAACCCACATACAAAGCCAACAAGCACATTAAAAAAATGCAATGTTATTAGTCATCAGAGAAATGATCATTTAAAGTTCAACACAATACCACCATACACAAGCTAGGATGACTAAAATTTAAAAAGATGACAACTGCTGGTAAATATCAGGAGTAACTAAAATGCTGAGAAGTTTCTGGGTAGGAGTATAACATGCCACAACCACTCTGGGGAACAATTTGGCAGTTTCTCAAAAAGTTAAAACACTCAGAATACAACCTACAACTTTTAGGTATTTACTGTTAGAGAAATAAATATGATTTCAAAAAGATTTGTACAAGAATGTTCACAGAAGCTTTAGTCACTATAGCCAGAACAAAAGAATATTTATGAATAATTGTATTTATATGAAATTCCAGGAAAAGCAAAACCAAAATTTGGGAAAAAATGAGCACAGTAATTTTATATTTGAGCATAGCACAAATATAAAACATTAAAATCTAAGTGCTTTAGGGTAGAAGGTGACAGAAATAGACTGGAGAAGGAATGTAAGTACACTTTTTGGGATAGTGGCTATGTTCACTACCTCAATAGAGGTTTAGTTTAAGCATTTGTTGAATTCATTAAACATTATACCTAAGAATTTTACATTTCACTATAAGCATATTTTTGCTAAGTTAAAAAAAACAACAAATATTTAATTCTAGTACATGATATAACCTTGATGTATTTGGAGGTGACGTATACTGATATCTTCAACTTATTTGAAAAACACCCCCCCAAAAGGGGGGAGATAGATGCCCATCTTTTTTTCTAGTAGTCAATGTACCTTTTATTTTATTTATATGTGGTGCTGAGGTTCAAAGCCAGTGCATCAACATGCTAGGCAAGTGTTCTACCACTGAGCTACAACCCCAGCCCAACAGATGGCTATTTGATAGGACAAATACAATACATTAAAATCTAAGTGCTACATGTGTATTTGCGGAATAATTACTTTGATATTTTATGTTTGGAACCTGATAGTCAATTTGGGGAAGTGGGGAGCAAACAAAAGATACATCAGGCTAGTTTTAAAGGAAACTTTCTACTCTCCAACCTCAAGCTTATTTTCTTGCCTTTAGACGTTAACATACTGTATGACCTACTATTTTGTGCCAATTCATTAAGCCACAAACAGCCACACTGGTTGTTTATATTATTCTGTAATTTGATTTCTAATGCCCCCAATAAGGACTTGGAGATAAGTGGGTCTTAATAGGAGAAAAAAATGTCAAGAATTCTGCTAACTGGATGGTTACAGACACAAGCTGAACACACTAATCAATCTGAACAGGCCAACCATCAAATGTTTCATGACTTAATACCTTTTAAACATCTTTACATGTACTTGAGTTATACATGTACTTGAGTTATTTTATATAAGGTAGATGTGATACAAGAAGAAATTGGAGCAGGGAAATACTTGGCTTACTATCAAGTGACAGATGTACTACAGACGTAGGTTCAATATATTGGGTTTTGTTTTTGTCCCCCATCCCCCAATTTCTCATTTGATTTTTTTATTTAACGCATGCATTATTTAGCAGTGTGTTTAATTTCCAAATATCTGGGTGGAGGATTGTGAATTTCTAATTAAACTTGCATTGAAATTTGTTTAATATAGTACAGTATATGTTCTGTTTGAAGAATATACCATAATTTGAGGGTGTAGAGTTCACTAGATGTCAACAAGGTGTACAGGGGATTGAATCCAGGGGCACTTAACCACTGAGCCACATCCCTACCCCTGTGTGTGTGTGTGTGTGTGTTTTGTTTTGTTTTGTTTGTTTTAAGACCAAGTCTTTGCTAAATTGACAAGGCTGGCCTTGAACTTGCGATTCTTCTGGCTTAGCAGGCTGAGCCACTCTAGGACTACAGGCTCTGACCACAGTACCCAGCAATATGTTGATTCTTATTCCCATTTTAGAAATAAGCAACTAAGGAGACACAGTCAGCATGATAGAAAACACCTGTAATACCAGGGATTTGGGAGGCTAAGGCAGGAGGGTCACAAGTTCGAGGCCAGCCTCAACAACTTAGCCAGACCCTGTCTCAAAATTAAAAATTAATAGGGGCTGGAGATGTAGCTCAAGTGATAAAGAACCCCTGGGTTCAAGTCCTAGTACCAAAAATAGAGACATAAAGGCAAAATGCAAGTTAAGTGTAGTGACTTTATAATTCTTACAAATTTTAGAATCTAAGATAAAAGTTAAAACACTCTATCTCAATATTGCAAACTTAAGTTACTTTAGATATAGATTTGTATTAACCTGAATGTTTCAAAAAATACAAAATCCTGCTAAGTAGTAATTGATCTGAAATCAGCATTATCTGTTTATGTTCCATTTTAATTTTCTCCCACTTGGCTTTTCCCTAAAGGTCATTAAAATACCTACCAAAAAAAAAAAAATCTTTAGTAATTCGCCAAAAATTCTAACTATAACTAAAACCAGACCCTACTGGTCTGAACATCACTAACATATGAACAATAATTTTAAAAAGCAATGCATTCAAAATAATTATAAAAATGTGTAGCTAAACCTATTTTATCCAGATAAAAAGCAGTGAGCTGAAACGTGGGGCAGTCTTCCCAATTAGTACCTCTTTCCTCAGAAATGTGGAGATAACAACTCCAATGTGGAAAAGAGCCAGGGATGAACAAGGGTTGGGTGAGGCATCCTGGGATGCAAAATTGACAGTTGGCAGTTGGCCAGAATGGAGGGGGGGCCCAGGAGCAGGGAGGTGGTGACAAAGATATGAGATAGGGGTTTCCATGTAACTCTTCACAATTGTTATACCAGACAATAAGAACAAAAGTAAATAAATAAAACAAACAAAAAAAACCCTACCGCAATACCGCAAAGTTAACATTAAACGCTATCTTTAAGACAGTTAAAATCAAGCTGCAGATATCATCGAGCTTCAGCTTAATATCTTTAAAAATTGATAGTGAAGGGAAATGAAGAATATCTACACAATATGTCATCTGGTAAACATAAAACCAACCCAATATTTTCCTCATACAGGGATAAATAATATCACAATATTAATGAAAAATATAAAAGTATGTCTAGAAAAACAAGTTTATCTTACATTATTCAGATAATCACGAAATTTCTTTTTTGTATAAAGTAAGACAACTTATTTCTCAGTGTGTACTAAGAAAAAACCCCAAGTCTCAAGCATGCTAGGCAAGGCTCTATCACTAAGCTACATTTTCTGTCCAGACAACCTATTTCTTAAACATAATTAATAGTTCTGCATAAAAGCTTTAATAACAAAATAAAATAGGTTTGCTAAAATTGTACATACTGTATGATCAATGGCATTAAAGACTGAAGTTTTCTTTTGAGATAGTGAAATACACTAATATATTCCCTTCCTTCACAACTCTCCAGCAGCAGAGTGACACGCAGAACCTAAGGGAAAGAGAGCGTCCAGACCAGTAACTGAACCAAGGCCCTTAGCATAAACCCAAACATCATGGCAAAGGTACATACAGGAAGTCCAACAGGCAAAGAAATCATGATTCTGATAAGCCAGATGCAAAAGTACTGAAATGTTAACTCGGAAAAGGAAAGAGAAAAAGTGAAAAAGAAACCGATTTCCCCAAACAAGACTGCTAATCAAAATACCAACTGACATTACGAATATTAACCCTAAGACATTCAACAACTTCAATCAAAACTTGAATTCACAGTCACTTACATGTTAAATTTAAGAATATATCCCACTAAAACATTTGTGGTCAAAGAGGATACAAATGAGATTTTTGAAATAAATGGCAAATGAAAGCATTATGTACCAAAGGTTAAATGATCTAGTAAGCTTTATAAACCCCTTCTTTACAACAAAAAAATTTTAAATGATGTAACTTGGCTGAAATCATTTATAAAAAGTCTGAAATGAGACCTGTATTCAATTTAAACTAGTAAAAAAATATATAGCCAACTATAGGCAGAAAGATTAATCAAACCAATCTTCTATTAGTCACTGATTTTTTGCAAACATTCAAGGTCAGTATATATAAAGAATTGTTCCTAATTGAAGAAATAACCCCATAGAAAAAAACTGGTAAGAGAAAAACCCAAATGGCCAAAAAAGATGTCTTCCTGCCAGTAAACAAGATGGAAAATAAAACTCGAATGATATATCATTTCACAACCATCATGCTGGCAAAAATTCAAAAGTCAACAAAATCAAGATCTGGTAAGGATACAGAAAAGTCTATCTACCCACTGTAATGTGCAAAGTGTTAAACTGCAAAACTACCTAGAAGAGCAATATGGCAACATCTAATACATATGAACTTGTATGTCATCATCCTCTATAATCTAACAGTTCCATTTCTACAGAAATATACTAGAGAAAATATTGTACATAAAGAGGAAAAAGTGGGCTCGGGCTGTGGCTCGGTGGTGGAGCGCTTGCCTGGCATGTGTAAGGCACTGGGCTTGATCCTCAGCATCACATATAAATAAATAAACAGACAGACAAATAAATAAATAAATAAAGCCCCATTGGCAAACAAGAAAAATGTTAAAAAAAAAAAAAAAGAGGGAAAAGTACATGAATATTATTAACATGTACTGGGAATCAACCCAAATACATCTTAATAGTAGAATGAAATCACTGCAGTAAAGCTTACACTGAATAAATATATGGCAGTGAAATGAAACAAACTAGTTAATTTTCACAATGTCAATAACAACTACAAAAGGAAAAAAATGGAGAAAAGGACAAGAATATATACAGCATTAACCATATATATGGTTTTAAAAACAGACAAAACTATATAGTAACACCCCAAGATCAAGTAATCTTGATGGCAATTCCCGTATTTGAAGGATGATAATGTTTTTTATAATATTTGTTTTTATTGTGGCTTTATAATACTCACTAAAAATACTAAAGTTAGCACACACAAACTTTTTGGGGGGACAAGGGGGTGTAGTGGGGATTGAATTCAGGTGCACTCGGCCACTGAGTCACATACCAGCCCTATTTTGTATTTTATTTAGAGACAGGTTCTCACTGAGTTGCTTACTGCCTCACTTTTCCTGAGGCTGGCTTTGAACTTGTGATCTTCCTGCCTCAGCCTCTCAAGCTGCTGGGATTACAGGCTTACACCACCATGCCCAGCTACACACATACTTTGAAGAAAATGTTTCAATGGCAGATAATTCTTGCTCTGGGTCCTCCCCCACCCTTACAGGTCTCCCCTTAAAACTACCACATCAAAGCATTTTAAAAACCTCAGGAATATTTAAATATATAACCCTACCTCCTCCTCTGAAGGTTTAGAAGCAACAAAGCGTGTTCTCTCTCGTCTCATCTTGCCACCTCCACCACCTACTCCAGAAGATAAACCATTGGCTGCAGGAATACTGAAATTTGGATATGAAAAGCCACTAGCAAATAAAAAGAAAATCAAAACAATTGATATATTATTCAGGTCCATAACCTGTTAACTAAATACCTAAAATCCAGAACTGCTAACAAGGAAGAAAAATAAATGCAAAGCTTAATATAATTTTTAAAACTGACAGGTTTTTGTTTTGTTTTTATGGCATAAATTTTCTACATTTAAATTTCTTAATATTCAAATAGGTATCTGAAATCAAATATGGACCTTACAAATTAAATATAAAGAAATTTAGTGGATATGAAATGACATTACCTTTCTTGTTCTCTATTTTGTCTTGGTGTCATATTTTTTTCATATCCAGTCTAGAAAAGAAAAAAAAAAATAGATGCCATTAGATCCAATTTTTCTTTTCTTTTTTTTTTTTGGGGGGGGGGGGGGTGAGGGATTGAATTCAGGGGCCCTCGGCCACTAAATCACATCCCCAGCCCTATTTTGTATTTTATTTAGAGACAGGGTTCTCACAGAGTTGCTTAGCACCTCACTTTTGCTGAGGCTTGCTCTGAACTCTTGATCGTCCTGTCTCAGCCTCCAGAGCCACTGGGATTATAGATGTGAGCCACAGCACCCAGCTATACCATTTTTCTTCCTATAAATCACAATATTTGTGGGGTTTTTGTATTGGGAATTGATCCCAGGTGTGCTCAACCACTGAGCCACATCCTCACACTTTTTTTTTTTTTTTTGGGAAATGGTCTCACTAAGTTTATGAGGCTGGCTTTGAACTTACGATCAGGGGGGGGGGGGGATCAAATCTAGCAAAATTAATCTAGATAGTAAGTATAATACTAATATTTACCCGTAAATGCTAATTTAGGATTTGATCAAGGTGAAGACTATTTAAAGGAATATACATAATCATCATTAATACACCAACTTTACTCATTATATAGATGATAGATTATAATGAGAGAATACCTCCTTTTAACATTACTCATTATTATTCATCATAACCAATATTCAAAGACTGGTGAAAATAAATAAATACTCACATTGTCCTTTTTATCAATTCTTTGATTAACCTTTCTTAATTCACCAGATGGGGTCAGAGATGGTTTAAAATAAACAGTTCGATTTGCTGCAATGGAAACTGGCTTTGGGGTCATAAGTCTCTGAACAGGGGGATATTGAGCATCCACCTTAAAAGTAAACAGAAATAAAGACAAATAATTTCATACGTATCAATGACTCATATCTAAAAATACACGACAATATCTAAAGTTACCTAGAGACCATGAATACTTCTAAAGAAACTCAGCAGATGCAAATATATACTACTAGGAAAAACTATTAAAACTGAACCTAAGTGGTACTTTATCTATATATATATGTATAACATACACACAAATTCAAAACAATTTCATAGGAAGATTAACTATATTTCATTCCAGACTCAGTGATTTTTTTCACATACATGCACATTTGCTCACACATAAAATGGAATTTATTTAATTTAAAACTGCTCAGTTTTTTTCTCACATTTTCCCCCAAATTATTGTCTACATTTTCTTCATCTTGCAAATAAGATACTGTATGAATGCTGGGGACATACTTTGTACTAAAGTCTTATTCCAAGCATGTGCAAGGCCCTGGGTTTGAACCCTAGCACCTCAAAAAAATAACGTATGTGAATATTTTTTAGCTAGTCATAAAAATACTTCTAATTCCTAAAAACATGAACAAAGTCCTAAGTTGGTTCCTCCAATGTTAATTAAAAAACAAACTAAGTCAAAACCTTACAATGTAAAAACTTGCAGATTCTGAAATGAACTGGTTTTATTGTCTAAGTACACAAGTGTTTTTCATTAATAGTCCTTTGCTTCTCTAAAACACAGTAAAAATCTTGATGGTGTAAGGTCACCATAAAGCCCAGAATTTGGACCCTGGATGGAGACTGCAATACCATGAATACAGCCCTTGCACTCAGCAGCAGCTGTGAACAACCTGCGTTTTCTGGGCAAAGTTTCTGTACAGTTGCTAGCTCTTCCCTAAATCCTTTTCATTAGTGTGACCACATAACTCAATAAGACAGTTTATTTTGCTGACTGTTCTGGCGTATCTGTGAAACAAGAACTTGCTGTACCCCAGCATTTTGTTTCCTTTTATTTAAACAATACGCAATCATTAATAATACGACATAGTAATAAGACTTTTACTGACAATATTATTATGGGATAACCTTAAAACTCCACTTGTTTTTAAACAATCTTACAAAAGAGAGTCTAAGAAGAGTTAACAATTTAAATTAATACCATGATGACAGCTAATAATAGATTTCCTCTTGCCCAAGTTCAAACATCTAGGTAATTCAAAAATTGAGAAGCAATACTTTTCCATGAAAAATTCAATTTTAGCTTTCTTTATACTCAATTTCATAATTATAATTTATCAACCTCTCATATAGTTCCCAGAGTGAATTCAGACAATTAGGATAATTTTAATAATCACTTTTGGGAAATTTAGTGATAAATGCTTTCAACAGTATGAATTTGAGAATCTGCATTTCTGGAAGGATATTTAACCAGTCATAAACATAACTAACCCAAAGCCTCAAATTATTAAGCATTTTATTTTTCACACAGTAACCTAAAGAGCTAACTTGAACCATATAAAACATAATGGAAGGGTATCAAGACATCTACATTACATTTTTTTATAGTTCTGGTATCCTGAAATAGTATGTTGGCTGGCTGACGAAATGTGTACCAAACTGAAATTCTATTTATACACATTAGATTTGTCATAATGTTAGATAATCAGGAAAATCTCCAAAGGTTCAATGTTCAATGAAGGTTTTAATTTTCTGACCTTCTAATTACTAAACAAATTTTGTTCATTCCCGTTTTCATTTATCAAAAGAACCAAGTCATAAAGACCATAAAGAATCTAAAGATGGAAATGGCAGATCACCAAAAAATACTGAATAAGCATCTGCTATGCAGCATCTTTTTTTTTTTAGTTGTAGATGAACAATACCTTTAATTAATTAATTAATTAATTTAATGTGGTGGTGAGGCTCAAACTCAGTGCCTCACATGTGCTAGGCAAATGCTCTACCACTGAGCAAAAGAAGGAACAATGTCCAAGTACAAAAAATGTCATTTTTCAAACACGTGCCATGACAACTATCAACTAAATCTAATTTGTGTATCTGGTTAAACTTTAAATGCTACAAAATTGATGACACATAAAATAATTACCATACCTTTTCTCTTCTGGCCTGAAAATCTGTGATATCTATCCCGCTCCTATCAAGAGGCTGAAAAAATAAAACAGTATTAGAATATACAGAAAATTGTAAAAATATATGTCTCTTGAGAATACAACAGCTTTAAAAGTCAACTTACAGAGTTTAGAGGAGAAGAAACAACTGATGGAATTCTTTTCGCATCCTGTTAATGTTATAACAACAATTTATTTAAAAAATTTATTTTTTATGAAATAATAAAATTAAGATTTTTCACTAAACTCAAATTTTGTTTAAGAGTGATTTTAAAAATTTACCGCTAGAGGACTTGACATCTTCTCTAAAGACTGCAATATTCGCCGAGCTGTTGAACTAGTCACACCGTAAGATTGTGCATTAAGCTGCTTAGCTTTCATCTGTCTTCTGACTGGTGCCTGTGAAGTAAACTCTATATTATTTGAAGCAACAAAATCTAAGTCACATATTTTATGTAATGAAAATATCTACAATATTTATCGTGTTTTACATTAGACATTTTATTAACAACAACTTATCTCTGAGAGGTGTCATAAAATAAGAGTTTAATTGTTTTTCTTCTTCATGCCTTTACTGAAAATCCAATTCCCTGCCTGAGACAGTATTTTTATAATTAGAAGTGATAAAATAGTACACACCACTCTGAAGAATGATCTGTAGTTATATTACACATGGTGAAAAGGTATAATTGGTAAAAAAAGTTCTAGCAATACCTTGACCTGTGTACTCTTGATATTTAAATCAAATAATATTAAATTAATGAGAAGTGAATTAAGATAGCTGTTATTCTGAATATTAATTAACATTTAATTAGAGCAAATTCCAAGACAGATAAACAAAATACTATAGATTCTACTGCAATGAAAATCTAACATTTTAATACTAATAACTTGTTTCTCAAAAGTCAATATGACAAAAGGAACATTTTTAAATACTCATGCTATTTCTTAATAAAGTGACTTACTTTCTTAAAATTGGGATTAGGAAAAAAACTTAAAGACTAGGCAATTACCCTTTAATACAAAAGCAAAATATATATATTCCAATAAAAATACACCCGTCTCTCAAGAATGCACTACAAGATTCTAATAAACATGTGATACCACAAAACCAAGTAATTTGGCAATGAGTAACATAAGGAAAAGATATCTCACAACCAAAATATAACCTAGTTTTTAAAAATTTTCATCATCTAAAAATTTGAACCATAATTACTACTTTAAAAATTTTTTCTTATATATCAAATATATTCATTTATTTTCAAAGTAGCTGCATTAGTAATAATAATAATACATTAGTATTATTACAAATTTGGTGCCCCCTATGGATTGCTGTTGAGAGACTAGAGGCTTCAGCAATCACAAGAAAACATTAAACTATTCACCAGGATATCACTGAAGTCTACTGGCTCTCAGGGGCTCAGTTCACCAATCAATAAAACAGAACTGAACTGGAATGTTGATAATGTCTTCTAGCTCCATAACTCTAGGAATGAAATAGCTAATAGACTGCATTCCAAATGTCAATTATAAGGCTAAGGGTGTAGCTCAGCGAAGAACACTTGCTTAACAAGCTTAAGGTCCTAGATTTTATCCCCAGCATGACAAAAACAAAAATATCTAATGTCAACTGTAAATATTTGGATGCTTGATTGAGGAAGATTCTAAGGGTATATCAGCACTCAGCATTAAAAAGAACAGAACTCAATACTGGGAATAAAGGAGAAGGAAACAGGAACACACTCCAGACTATTCTATGCGTTGAACTATATTAACTATAAATTTTAGTTTTTAACAACTTAAGAAAAAGCTTCCTATGTAACTCTGACATCCAGTTAATGCTTTCTCTTATAACAAAATGTCCCCCATAAAAACACTCAGAAATAAGGCTCATAGCTTAGCATGGTATTATGCATCTGTTCTCCCAGAAACTTGAAAGACTTAGGCAGAAGGACCACAAATTCGAGGCCAGCCTGAACAATTTAGCAATCCCTTGTCTCAAAATAAAAATTAAAAGAGCTGAGGATGGCCAGGTGCAGATGGAGCATGCCTATAATCCCGACAGGTTGGGAGGCTGAGGCAGAAGGATCAAAACTTCAAAGCCAGCCTTAGCAGAAAGCGAGGCGCAAAACAACTCATTGAGACCCTCTCTCTAAATAAAATACAAAATAGATCTGGGGATGTGGCTCAAAGGATGAGTGCCCTGGTGCAGTGCCCTGTACCTCCTACCCTCCAAAAAAAAAAGGCTGCGGATGTAGCTCAGTGATAAAGCACCCCTGGGTTCAATTTCCAGTAGCGCAGAAAAAAAGTCTCATAATTACTACTGTTAATTAGACAAGAAAGAATCTTCTAATCAGGATAAGAAATGACTACCCTTAATGACAAAATTAAAATCTCTAAATATCGTAATTTCAAGCATTTGTTGATTCCTATTTGCCATGGATTCTCATTTCAATAAGATTTGCTCCAAAAATCTTAATGTTTACATTCTCTTCCATCTCTAAAAAGGTCAAAATCTGTAATATAAAATAAAAATACTATAACCCACACAAACCAGAATTTGTAGTCCTCAAGAAAATAGCAGAACAAAGAACAGGATGCAATTTCCCTTAAATTGGTATTTCTCAAAAAGTTACTCATTTCTAATTATTGACAACTAATATATACACACATAAATACAAATTGCTCTGTATTTTTTTGACCTTGTATCTTGTGACTCTGCCAAACTATTAGTTCTGATAGCATTTTTTGAAGTCCTTTGGTAATAGATATAAATAAATACCTACATTCCTGACCAGAAATTATTTTACTTCTCCCTTTTCCATCTGTATACCTTGTTCTATACTGGGTAGGATCTGTAATATGAGGTTGAAGCGTAGCAGTTTTGATAAAGAGTCTTCCCTGCTCTTTCCCCCATTTCAGAAGAACAGTATTCAGTCTTTCACATTAAGGAATGGTACATCTGTAAATATGCTTTATCAGGATGAATCTTTTATCTTTTCCTAGGTTTGGTTTGCTGAAAATTTTTATCTGAGTGGATGATGGATTTTGTGAATTGTTTTATAATATCAAATGTTCATAAGGTTTTTATTCTTTAATCTGCTTATGTGGTAGGTTACAAAATTTTCAAATGTTGCTTTCCCAGGACAAATCCTACCTGATCATGATACAGTTTTCTTTTTATAAACGTTGAATTCAATTTACAAAAATTTTTGTTGGAAAAGCATGTATCCATAATTAATGAGAAATGCTGTCCATGTTTTTTTTTTTATAATGTCTTTGTCTCATTTTGGATCAAAGTACTGTTAGCCTATTAAAAATGTGTTTGGCAGGGGGTGGATATAGCTCAGTTGGTAGAGTGCTTGCCTTGCATGTACAAGGCCCTGGGTTCGATCCCCAGCACCCCTACCCCCCCCCCAAACTGCGTTGGGGAGACAGGCATGGTGGTACACACCTATAATCCCAGCAACTTAGGAGGCTGAGGCAGGAGGGTCAGAAGTTTAAGTCCATAATCAGTAACTTAGTGAGACCCTATCTCAAAAAGAAATTTAAAAAATAGGGCTGGGGATGCATGCAGCTCAGTGGTAAAAGCCCCTGGGTTAAATCCCCAGTACCCCCAAAAGAGTTGGATAATGTTCTTTTCTAATACATGAAGAGTTTATAATATAATTGGTATTTTTTCTTTTTTAAATACTTGTTAGAATTCATCAGGGAAGCTAGTTGAGCCTGAATGTTTCTTTGCTGGAAAGACTTCAACTAAGAATTCAACTTATTGAATAAATAACACTATTCAGACTTTTGCTCATACTATGCCAAATAAAATGAAATACTTAGGTATAAATGTGTCAAAATGCAATCTACTGTCATGTGTAACTAATCAAAATAAACAAAAAATTCTAACAAAATGTGTTCAAGGTCTCCATTGTGAATACTACAAAACACTCATGAAAGAAATCTTAAAAACACCTTAATAAAGAGATATACTGTATTCATGGACTGGAAGACTCAATTTTGTTAAGATGTCCATTCTTCGCAAATTGATCTTTAGACTCAATGCAATCCCAATCAAAATTCCAACAGCCTTTGTAGGAACCAACAAGCTAAATCTAAAATTTTATGGAAAAGCAAAGAACCCAGGAAAGCCAAAACAAGCTTGTAAAAGAAAAGAACAGTTAGAGAGCTCACATTACCTGATTTTAAGAATTACTATAAAAGAGCTATCAAGACAAGGTAATACTGCAAGGACAAATGCAGATCAATGGAAAAATAATAGAAAGTTCAGAAACAGAGCCAATGTATAGTAAACTACTTTTCAACAAATGTGCAAAAGTAATTCAATGGAGAATAGATAGACTTTTCAACATATGGTACTAGAACAATGGTTCATCCATACGTAAAACAAGTGTTGACCCATACCTAATACAAGATAAAAAAAATTAACTCAAAATGAATCACAGGTCTAAATTAAAACCTAAAACTATGAAGCTTCTGGGGACAAACAAGAAAATCTGTGGCACTGGGTTAAACAAAAATGTCTTAGATATAATAGCGAAATCATAAAAGAAAAAACAGAACAATATACTTAGATGTAATCAAAAGTAAAAATTTCTCTTCAAGACACTGTGAAAACACGTCACAGAATGTAATATCTGCAACACACATTTGATAAAGGATTTGAAAAAAATGAACGCTCAAAATTCTTTAATAAGATAGCCCAATTTAAAAATGGTCAAAAGATTTAAAGACGCTGCAAAGACACTGATTACAAATAAGCATATGAAAAGATGTTCAACATCATGTAAGATTAATGTTGTCTTTTTTGTCAAAGTTAAACCTATTAGTCTGAATTTCCTAATATGTAACAAAAAAGTGTCTGCTATAATCTAAAATCTGAGTTTCCTAGTGAGTAGTTAGGTGGAGCTATTTTTAATTTACTAAACCATGTGGTTAAAATGTAGCCATTTTGATTCCCCCAACTATTTCTCTTTGTCCTCTGTCTTCCAATCATAATGCCTACAGTGTACTAGGTGATCCAATCCTAACTAGAGTCCTTCCCTTTGCCCTCCCCAATTTTAAATTAGTCAATCACACATATTGTAATCCTAAACTCCTTCTATCAGAGCAAAAGGATAAAAACCTGGGCAGACTTCCCACCCAGTGTGCTTGCTTGCCAGATTTTTTCGGGTAGTTTGCCTTGCTGAGTAACTTTTGAGCACATGTCTGATTTCTTGCAGTACTAATAATCAATAGCCACTAGGGAAGTACAAATTAAAACCACATGTTGAAATTACCACTGCATGCCTATTTGCATGGCTAAAACAAAAAGGTAGCACCAAGTGCTAGGAAGGATGCAGAGCAACTAGAATTCTTACACTACTAGTGAGAATGCAAACTGGTACCAGTCACTCTGAAACAATCTGGCAATTTATTATATACTTACCTTGTGAGCCAGTAATCCAACTCCCAGGTATTTAGCCAAGAGATGAAAATTAACATTCATACAAAATGTTCATAGCAGCTTTATCCAAAACAGGCAAAAAACAAGAAATAATCCAGTGTCCTTTTACTGGTGAAAAACTATAATTATACTACTCAGCAATAAAAAGGAACTATTGACATGCAAAAACAGACTGATCTCAAACACATTATGCTAACTGGATTAAGTCAGATACAAAAGGCTACACCTGACTAAAATTTATATGACATTCTGGAAAATGGCAAACTACAGGGAAAGAAAAACATTAGTGGTTGTCAAGAGGATGGTAGTGAAAGGACAGACTGACAACAGAGATGCACAAGGTAATGTTCTGAGGTGATGAGAATGTTTGTTCAAAAATCTGCTGAAATGGCTACACAACTGCATGTGTTTTATTATTAATTCAAATACACAAATAAGAGCAAATTTTTATTATGTAATTTATTCCTCACTTACAAAATAAATTAATCAAACTTCCTAAGAGACACACACAAATATAATACACAAAATGTTCACTTAGACCTGAAATAATATTCACATATCCTAAAAAGGGTGATGGTGGAGGTGCAGTCATCTCCACAGTTCCGTAATTTTTACCAAAGAATAACTAAAAGTTTATTTTTTTTTAATTTTTGAGTGTCAATAGTGAATGGCTAATTAAAATCAAAAAGAAAAGAAGAACCATCATCCATCTCCAATTAAACCAACCTGATAAGGTGTATTTCGTAGCTTAGACTGTCTTACAGCAGCTGCTGCCCCACCATATGTTGTTTTTCCAGGATAAAAAGGAGAATCTCCAAGCTGACTTGTTTTAAGATTTGAAGAATTCCCAAGTGACTGCATAGAAACACAATGACAAACTTTAAGCAAAAAATACTCAAAATGAATGTGATTAAATCCAATCCAGTTAGTACTCACAGAGGAAAGTGTTCCAAAGGCAGATAAGTTAAATGCTGGTTTTTTTGAGCTGGTGGCAGTATGTTGAGAGAGTGAATGAGAACGTTCAGCCTCTGGGGACCATAGAGGTGGCAATGAAGTGTTCTTTGAAACAGCTATATCTGAAACAAAAGTAATAGCGCCAATTATAAGACTCTAGATTTTCACATAGAAAAATAAAAATTAAAACTAAGTTAAATAGCCAATAATTGGTCTAAAACATAGACCAATAGTATAGAATAGAAGACACTTAGTCAAACCCACACAGATACAGTCATCTAATCCTTGACAAAGGTGCCAAAAACATACACTAAAGACAGCCTTTTTAACAAATGGTGCTGGGAAAATTGGTTATCCATATACAGAAGAATGGAAGTAGAACCTTATCTCACAACCTGCACAAAAGCCAACTCAAAATGGATCCAAGACCTCGAAATTAAACTAGAAAATATGCAACTCTTAGAATAAAATGTAGGGTCAACACTCTAGCTTATTTAAGCACAGGTAACGACTTTCTCAATAGGATCCCTAAAGGTCAGGAAATAATGCCAAGAGTTAATAAGTGGAACACCATCAAATTTAAAAGTTTCTGCACAACAAAGGAAATAATTAGGAATGTGAAAAGATAACCCACAGAACAGGATAAAATCTTTTCTAGCCAGCTACTCTTTTACAGAGTGTTAGTGTCTTGAATACATGAAGAGCTCAGAAAACTTTACATCAAAACATCAGCTAGCCCAACTAATATATGGGCAAATGAATTAAACACACACATCTCAAAAGAAGAAATAGAAATGGCCAACAAATACATGAAAAAAATGTTCAACATCATTAGCAATTAAGAAATGCAAACCAAAACTGAGATTTCATCTCACACCAGTCAGAATGGCAGTCACCAAGAATATAATAATAAATGCTGGAGAAGATGAAGAAAAAAGAACACTTTTACAGTCCTGGTGGGACTGTAAATTAGTACGACCACTATGAAAATCAGATTGTAAGCTCCTCAAAAGACTAGAAATGGAACCAGCACATGACTCAGCTTTATCACTTCTCAGTATTAACCCTGAATAATTAAAGTCAGATAATATATAGTGATACATGCATACCCATGTTTATAACAGCAAAACTATGGAACTAGACTAGGTGTCCATCATCAGTTGAAAGGATCAAGAAAATGTGGTATAATACATGAAAGAATTTTATTCAGCCATAGGGAAAACGAAGAAATCATGTCATTTGCAGGAAAATGGATGGAACTAGAGATCGTCATGTTAGGTAAGATAAGTCAAACACACAAGGTCAAGGATTGTTGTCTTCTCTCATGTGCGGAAGGCCAGAGAGGTAAAAGGAAATCAAAGGTGAGGGTGGATATCCTAAAAAATCAAAGATCAGCAGGGGAAAGGGACTAACATAAGTGGTGGAGAGGAAGGAGGCAGAAGTGTTCTCGAATGATGTTGGTCAAATTATATTGTTCTACTGTGTGCATATATAAACATGTAATGACAAATCCCACATTATGAACAACTATAATGCACCAATAAAAAAATGTGGGGGAAAAAACATTCCATGAAATTTAATTTTACTACCAAACTTACTGTCAAATGAAAAAAATACCTTTATCAGAGGCTCTTGAAGAAAAACCACTGGTAGTTGAGATGTTGTCATCATCATGCTGAGAGGTAGAATCTTTTATTTCTTTTACAAGGGAAAATCCAGAACTGCCAATTGGGAATGCAGAGGATGTAGATGGCTGACAGTGCAATGTTGGAGATTCCAACATGGAGAAGTTCAGATGACTCCGGTGAAGAGAAGGCCTTGTCAATACATCTGGATAAGTAGAAGCAGTACTTGTTGTCGAAGGTTCTTTAAAAAAAAAAAAGAGAGAGAGAGAATAGTATAAATATTCAACTTAGAAAAATCAATACACTATCAGTGTTTCTTTAAGAAACACTATATTAATAGTTTCAACTACAAATCACTGAGGATTCCCATGATAAGATAAATTTAAGATACTCCTGAACCAATTAACTGAATTTGAAGTTACCAAAACTAGTGTCAAAATAGTTTAGTGATCACGTACAACTTAAAGAACGTGTCCCAGATTCTCCTTGAACAGGTGTTATTATAACATCTGCTCATAAAGTCATAAAATAAGCATTAAATCTCTCCCTCCAGATATAGTAACTATTAACTCTGAGTATCTCTAATATTTTCTATGTATACACAAAGATACATTGTCCCAACATAATCATGTTATCATCTTGTTCTTTAACCTTTTTTCTTTTACCAATAATTTTTTGTACATTGAGCATTCCATTTAAAAACCACTCTGTATTCTACTATACCCTCAAACTGCCTATAATTATTCAATTATTTTCCCAATAAGAAAATAATTAAACACAAATGCACTTATATCTGCATATTTTAAGAGTATTCTTTTGCATAAATTCATGGTTCTATAATTTCAATACATATTACATTTGTGAGAACTGATATTAAACAAATCTCTCTGAGCCTATCACAGCCTCAGTTAAGTCTGAAGCTGACTGCCAAAATTAGCTCAAGCAGTCCTAGGTATCCTGAGAATCAACTGCTCTGTCAAACTGGACCCAACTGTATACTCCTATTTATTTTTTATAACAAATATTAAACTGTGATTTCAAAGGATTTCATAAGTTGTACTCACACAAATAGTAAATGACAATATACATTTTCTGATAAACTCCAAAGCTGGATATTAACCTTTTCTAATTTCTGTCAAATGGAATCATTATTTTATTTGTACTTATTCAAGTGAGAGAGCTTTTGAGCATCCTTCCCTATATTCGTTACCCACTTATATTTCTTCTGTTAAATGCTTATTGCCATAGTCTCCCTTACTATTAAGATTAATAATAAAAGACTAATAAGATGTATAAAGTATAATTTTTGCCCATAAGACCATGTGATATGACAACTGAAATACCACAACCATTTTTCCCCCAGTTAGTTCAACTCATTTACAACTTTTACTCATTTCCTCGGGTATTGTTGCTTATTTAATCTTGACTCCATCTGGAATCAGTTACAATGCAGGAGTGAAGAAGTAAGCTTCATTCTTTCCAAAGGGATAAGCCTGTTTTTAGTATCCTAAGATAAAATCTTAAATAAGCCATTCTTTCCTCATTGATTGTCAATTAAAAGGCTTTACTCCTCCTTCCCCTAATGTTACACCTGTATATTTCTGTACCAGTGCCATAATGTTTTAAATACTTTGCTTTAGAATACACTGAATGCCTGTTAAATTTACTCCACTTCACCCATCTTCACTTTATTCTTTTTCAGAATACCTCCGTTCATCTTCTTGTATACTTCCAAGAACTTTAAAATCATTTGTCAAGTTCCCAAAAGAGATTAACCTATTAGAATGGAATAACTAAGACCAAACTAGTTCTTCTAACGTAAATATGTATCAAACTGGTGAAAGTACAAGGCAACTGTGTTTAGACCACAAAAAAGAGTTTAAGAAAAGATAAGCCTGAGGAATACTGTCAAATCTGGAACAGAGTCCTGATGAAGTCCATGCAAAACAGCATATAGAATCAGAACCAAGGGCACTACACTCACAGGAGCCCCCAGAAGTTCACATGGAAATGTTCAGTGGGAGAATGGATTGTACATACACAAAGCAACACCACCAAATAGCAGCTGCAATGAAGCTGAAAACAGAGACACCAAGAGCACTAAGCAAAAAAAAAAAAAAAAAAACTGTGCCAAGGATTCTCAAGGGCTGCCAGAACTTAGAAATCTAGAAATCCCATAAACACTTCCCTGGCATTCAGATGAGGTACCAAAACATTTCCCTGTAGGAATAAGAACTATGTTCTAGTGTTAGATCCATTCTACAACTATTCTGAAAAGTCACAGGGGAAACAGAAGGTTAAGTCTAACCATATTGGAGGCTTAGACTTAAGCCCAATACCTCAAAACTCTAAAATTCCAGAAGAAATCAAAGGAAAAACATTAAGTTATTAGGATCTGACAATGATTTCTTACAAACCATACCTGAAGCTTAGGCAACAAAAGCAAAAACAAAGGCATTACATTAAAATTTAAAGCAAGGTGTCACACGCTTTAATCCCAGCAACTCGGGAGGTTGAGTCTCTCAGCAACATAGTGAGACTGTCTCAAAATAATAAGTAAAAAGGACTGGGGATGTGGCTCAACAGTAAAGTGCCTTTGGGTTCAATCCCCCCAAATTTATTAATTAAACTTTTGTGCAAAAAACAGAGTGAAAAGACAGAACACAAAATATCTGGAAAGCCTATAAAGAGGTTAATATCCAGAAGATATGAATAATTCCTACAACTCAAAAGTCAAATTACCAAACCAAAAAAAAAAAAAAAAAAAAATGCAAAGAAACTGAATAGGCATTCTTTCTCCAAAAATGATACATACAAATGGCCAAGAAGCACAAGCCAGTTCTTGCTACTTACAGAGCTTCCTATCTTTCACACCTAACCATACGAAGAATGTAGTCTGGGACAGGAAGATTAAATAAGGCCATGTCACCTAAGATTCACATCAGCCATAAACACCCAGTTTTCTAAGAGTACAACTATGAGGCATAACAGTCCAAAACTTTAATTCATTGCTGGCTCATATACGAGGTATAACACTGTGGGACGCTCAGTGTCCCGAATCATGGCTACATCAATGAAATTTTAACAGGTACATGGATTTGGGGTTTTTCTCATCATTCTATTCTTCTAATCTAGCAGAAGCAACATCCAAGGCTCATCATCATTACAAGAATCAACACAGGAAAAGAAAGCTGCAGACAATACATTTGAAATGGGCTGCAAACTGTTTTACTGCATTGTGCTACTTGAAGAATAAAAATACTCTCCAGCCCCACTATTACTATTAATACAAGTTACTTTTGTAAAAATTAATTTTTAGGAAACATTAAGAACTTTCATGTTATTTTTAGCCTTCTGCAATTTGACACTACTTCAACAGTAGATATATCTCTAAATTTTGAAAATAACTTCAAGTGTAATGTTTTGCAAAGTTGATATAAACTGATTTTTTTGTTGTTATATCTAATAATAGCTATGTTCATCTTATGGGAGGGTTACAATTTATACTGGAAGTCTCACACTATCTGACTGCTGGCATTAAATAAATAATTTGAGAAAGGTCAAGGCAGATTATAAGAACTGTCTAGTTGGGGATTATGAGTCAGGTCTGAGAAAGGAAAATGTGATATAAGTTTCTGAAACATATCAAAAAGCTGCCCACAATTTGCTTCTAAACAGCAGGAAATGTAGCTCAGTGGTAGCGTGCTTGCTTAACATGAGGCTCTGAGTTCAAGCCCTAGCACCATAAATAAAAATAATAATAATAATAAAAAATGAATCCTCAGGGGAGTGAAGTGGAGAGGTGGGCTAAAATGTGTGAGAACCGAGAAAACAAAACCAGCCATAAACTGTTGTTGAAGCTGAGTGATGGGGAAATAGGGGCTCATTGTACTATCCTCTGTACTTCTATAAATTTTCCATAATAACTTGAGTTTAGAAATTACAAAGGCATGTATAATACATACGAGAAAAGCTATCTTATAAATTTAATAAAGTAATGAATACAATCTTAGTTTGAATTAACCTTAGCAACCAATGAAGTTAATTCCATTGTTTCCATGTAAATACAAACACAAAAAATAATTTTACAGGTGTAGAATTAGAAACTATCCATGAATCCCACACATAAATCCCTATATAGGTTTAATTAAACCCTATAAGTATTCTATTAGGATTGAGAGAACAGATTCTGTTACTGTGACTACATCAGTACATACTAGAAAATCTAACAGAAAGAAAGAAAAGTCAAGCTGGATCCCATGTGATTGGCAGGGTGGGGGATTGGAAGCAGTCATCTTAGACATCTACCAAATAAAAAGCCTCCAGATGGTTGTTGTCATAGACATTTAAAAGAAATCTTGAAAACTACAGATATTAAAACTAAATTGGAGACTGAGGTTGTGACTTAGTGGTAGAGTGCTTGCCTAACATGCATGAGGCATGGATTCAATCCCAGATTTTTTTTTTTTTTTTTTGGCAGGGGGAGGGCAACGGCGACACAACACCATACCCAAAGCACAACGAAATATCATTATACCTACACTAAGGTAACTATAATCAAAATAAGTTTTGGTAATGATATATAAAGAAAATAAAACTTTCATATACTGCAGGAAGGTAAGATGATACAGCCACTTTAGAAAACCCTTTAGCAGTTTGTCATAATGTTTAATATAGAGTGATTATATGCACCAGCAATTTTACTCTACATAAAAATTTGCATGCAAATATTCACAGCAATATTCATAACATCCAAAAAGTGAAAACAACTCAAATGTCCATTAACTAATAAATAAGGGGTAAATTTATCCATACAATGGAATATTGTCCAACAACAATAAAAACAAATGACATTCTGATACATGCTGAAAACACTGTGGTCAGTGGAAAATTGGAGACAAAGAATACATATTTTATGATTCCATTCACATGAAATGCCTAGGATAGGGATCTACAGGGATAGAAAGCAGATCAGTGGTTGTCAGGAGTTGAGGAAGAAGGGAATGAAGAGTGACAGCAAAGGTTCTAAAATCAATGGGAGTGACAGCTGCAAACCCCAGTGAATATATTTAAAACCACTAAACTACATTTTAAATAGGTGAGTTTTATGGCATGTATCTCAATGAAGCTATAATGAGATGAGCTATATATCAATACAGTTATAAAATACATATTAAGTGAAATGACAATAATAATATCTCCAAATACAGCCTAGACATGGGTTACACTAAATTTACAATACTTGTAAACCCTAACAAAATGCTGGAAAGTAGATCCTAATCAAAGATTTAAAATGCAGGGTCACTGAACAGTGATTAATGGAATAACCCAATTGAGTTTGCTCTAGAGAACAGGATACAGCTAGTTATACCCTAATTCACGTGTTCTGAGAGGCACTAACAGTTTCATTCTAATGGTTAACATTTGTGCAGTGTCCCTTTAGTGCTAGGGTTTATTCTAAGGGCTTCACAATTAAAAAATTAAAAGACAAGGTCAGTCTCAAATTTGTGGGCTGAAATGGTCTTCCCACCTCTGCCTCCCAATAGCTTAGAGTACAAGAGTGCACCACCATGCTCAGCTCACAATTACTCTTTCTGAAACAACTTAGGAAGACAGAGAGGAGGAAACGGTCTCCTGCCAAACACTACATAGCTAATACTGCTGAAATGAAAATTCGAACCCAAAGTCTGACATCAGAGTTTGTACTCTTAACTAATGTGTCAGACTTCCTTAATGAACAGAAGGTTGGTAAATAACAAAGACATTCAATTTAAACCTAATCACCATCCTCCTCCAGATGTTTTATGTTCTACTCAATGACATTGATGAACCACAGCCAGGTAAACATAAATGTATTTAAAATTAGGGCATGAAAATCTATCATTCATAAAAAAATATATCCATACGCTACTTACCTTCTGTATTACTGACAGCTGGCTCAGGGGTGATTCTCCCATCATTATTATTAGAGCTCTCCTCATGGCCATACATCACATGATCATCATCTCTATTTTCTGGCCAGTGTGGAACCTCACTTGTGTCTGTTGAGCAGCTACATGCATCTTCATTCTTGTTGAAATATCTTTGTAGCCACCCTGGCACAATATTCTTAACAGATTCTGTAACCCTGCTAAGAATGCCCTGTTGGGAGAAAACACAAGACAATTTTAGAAATTAATCTTTTTAAATATATAATCACTTACAGAAAAGAAACTCATGCCAAGCAAGACATAACTATTTCCAACAGAGTTTACTAAAATTCAGTTACTAAAGTTACGATGACACAATATTTTAAGTTTTCTTTATATAAAATTCTTACTTTTTCCTTTGTTCTATAGCATACATGAGCTAATATTTGTCCCAAATGCCTAATTATTCTAATCCTTTAAAATACCCCATAAGCTATCAAATAAGCAAGATCTATTTTAGATTTAGCAATAAAGTACGTACTAAATGTTTTAATCCAAGAAAAGGCATCCTTTTCTATCTCAATGTATTAAAAGAAACCATATAAACCATAACTTCAGTAACAACTATTTACACATTCTTTTAAAAAAACAAAACAATTAGACTAATAGAAATGAAGGTTTAAGAACAAAAGACAACTAATCCAACATACATTAATCCAAGAAATATTCTAATATCTTTTTTAAAAAATATTTATTTTTTAGTCGCAGTTGGACACAACACCTTTATTTCACTTTATTTTTGTATGTGGTGCTGAGAATCGAACCCAGGGTCTCACATGTGCGAGGCAAGCGCTCTACCGCTGAGCCACAACCCCAGCTCCTCTAATATCTTTTGAAAGTGAAATTTTACTGTATTGACTTTTAAAGGAAGAAATATAAAGTGGTATTATAACTACAAGACTTATTAACATTTACAGTGACTTCAGTTATGAGTCAGGCAATGCTGTAATCAATTTAATCTTACAATAATTATATGAAGTTGAAACTAACACTCCCATCACTTTAAGGATGAAAAGAGACAATAAGTAACTTACCCCAGGCACAAACACAACTACTTCAGTATATCTAAGACAGACTAAAAGCATGGGCCTTGGGATTACTATGACCCATTACGAAATTTGAGTTTCTCCCTGTTCTTTGATTTACTCTAGCTTAAGTAAGAACAACACCCCCTCCCCTACTAACTACTGAAATTATAGTGAAAATTATGTGACAGTACTTTTCAACTTACAACGTATAACATATTGGTAATTTTATTACTAACCAGGAAAAAAAGCCAACAGAAAAAACTCTGCTAAGGTAACCAATTGCAAGCAACAATTTCCTTCATTAAGCAGTATTAACTGGGTGGAAGTGGTTAGCAGATAAAAAAGAAAAAAAGGCAGAATATATGAATCGACTTTGAAAGCAACCCAAGGACAAAGAGGCTTTAAAAATCCTGTCAACAGAAAATATGGAACACATGTCTGATACAGGCACACACTTGAACAGCAATTTCCTCATTGTTTGAAAACGTGCAAGTAACAAACTAAAAGTATGTATTTTCCCATGTGTTCTATGAACAGATTTTCAACAGATCTACAAGATCAGCTTTCAAACCCATAGTTTCAGAATATTCACTACTAAAAAACACATTTGCACTGTTTCCTTTTTCTATGCCACGATGCATAATATTAGCTACTTTGGAAAAAAAGATCATATTAAACCTACTACATCTAGAGTTCACATTTTTAATAATATAATATAGTACTAGTTCTTTATCCCACCCTCCACTATTTCAAATACCTGGAAGTACTTACAAGGTAAAATTCAGTTTAAGATAGCCTTTCAAAAAAATAAGACACATATGATATGAGGTTATAGGTTAGCTAAAGCACTACAGAAATAACTTAGGGTGGAAAAAGTCATTTGTGGACTTCTAAAGTATAAAAATATAGAAATGTAAAAATATAAAAATATCAAGGATCCTCATGATCCTTATCTAAAGCAAGCAGAGAACATCATAAAAATGACACCATATTTAACCAAAAGTCACTTGTGTGTCAGCAGGAGATATGTTAGAGAACAATCAAAAACCAAATCTGAATAATCAAAACAGATACGAAAAAGCTTATTCTCTGAAGTACACATGAACTGTGCTTACAAGACTTTCTCTTTTCTAAGCTAAAATTTAACCAACTTATCTAGTCTCAGCCCAGAGCAGCTTAGCACAGGAAAATTTCAGTGGGACAGAGTTACTAGTGGCACAGTAAATGACAGCAAAAGGATTTTTTTCCAAAAAAAAAAAAAAAAGTTCATTCAGTAAATAATAAAAAGTACTTAAATAATCAAACATACCTCAAATGACACAAGTCATCAGGACAAAGTTAAAGTAAGCTTAACATATTCTAATCCTAGTGGTTCTCTATGTGTGGTTCCCTCAGCTACAGTAGCATTAATCTCAGGTAATGTACTCCCTTCTTACCTAGTCCGCCCAAGTGATTCTGATGTTATGTTAAAGTTTGAGAACCAACACTACAGTTAAAGACATTAGGAAATTAGACACATTTTAGGAAATTATGATGACATTTAGGGGGAAAAGCTCCTCTACAACAGGTTAATATAATCAAGCATACTTTAAAAAAAAAAAAAAGACTCAAACTTCAACTGTCTAGAAAACATACATGTGGAACACTAGTCGGACAATAATGAATATATCCTAAAGTGAATCAGAACAACAAACTTTGCAGTGACCATTTTAGACTGTACTGAATACAATGCAGTTCACACACTGCTTTTCTCCATTCAATCAATACTAACTGCACACCGTAGTGTGCATCAAGAATTAAACACTGGTGGGGCCGGGGTTTAGCTCAGTGATAGAGCACTTATCTCACAAGTGTGAGGCACTGGGTTCAATCCTCAGCACCACATAAAAATAAATAAATAAAATCAGGGTATTGTGTCCATATACAATTAAAAATATTTTTTAAAAAAAGAATCAAAACACTGGGGATACAGTGGTGAACAAGTTTTTGCCCAATCAGGGAGAAAAACAAAATATGTCACATATAAACATACATGTGAGATAGTGCCATGAACAAAAATCAAGAGAAAGAAAAATGAGATGGGTGTCCCATTACATAAGCACAGAAAATGTCTGAAAAGGGTGTTTATTAAATAATAGGCTATGCAAATTTCTACTGTCTAAGTAGACTAAGGGAACAAAAGTGAGAAGACCTAAATAAAGGAGTATCCTTCACATATGCTATCCAAACTTAGGGTTACCTTATCAATAAAGGCAAAAATCTAATATATCTTAAGATAAACTTGAAATCCTTCAAAAATCCCCTTGAAACATACACTTATATGTGTGTCTTTGCACATGTGCTTAGAATCATCTGCTTCATCTTTTGTTCTTCAGTTCACATATCTAATCATTATAAAAGGACTAATATAATTATTCTCAAAAAAGTGTAGTCCTCAACTGGGTGCAGTGGTACATTCCTGTAATCCCATCAGCTCGGGAGGCTGAGGATCACAAGTTCAAAGCCAGCCTCAGCCTCAGTAACTTATTTATTGAGACCCAAAGCAATTTAGCAAGATTCTATCAATAAATAAATAAATGGACGGGAGATGTGGCTCAGGGATTGAGAGTCCCTGGATTCAATCCTAGGTACCCACCCCGCAAAAAGTCTTCAGATCAGAAGTACTGTTATACTTAGATAAATACAAATTTCTTTTTAACAAGCTCTTGGAGTTATCATTATGCAAATTAAATTCTGAGAGCCACGCTCTTAAAATTATTTAAAAATTCAGTGACCTATTATACCAAATAAGACCTTGATAAACATAACCTTATAAACTTAACTATAATATAAAGTAACATTTTACCTAAAAGACCACCCTATTTTCAAAATTATCAAGTTCATCCAACCATTACACTTGTTTTTATAAACTTTATAATATCGACTCCGAAAATCAATCAGAAGTAAATATGCACCCTGGAGCTAATTTTATTTCCACTTGTTAAAGACTTGCACAGATTATGTACTTGCTTTTAGTAAATGACCAACTAGGAGATATCAGGATTGTTTAAAAATTCCTCAAGAAGAAAAAAACATCTCTTGATTATACACAGAATTATACTGAATAAGATCTGAAGAAGTATCTTCTTGTCTGTCAATTTTAAAAGAGTTTTAAAGAACCGAACACTTTAGCCCTTAATGAAAAATTAAGAGAGTGAAAAGAATTGGAAAAGGGGAAAAATGGCTTCCTTTTGGAGTTAAGTTTTCATTGACCTTACTACCAAAGAAGGCCCGGTGTAACCCAACTATCTTTTCAGGAGTTCTTGAGGAGTTCTCTTCAGGTCTTTACAGGAATGGGGACAGTCAGTTTGAAGAAAGAATGCTTCATGACTTAAAAAATATAACAAGCCAGGAATAGCAGTGCACATCTGTAATATCAGGGACTCTGAGGCTGAGGCAGGAGGATTGAGAATTTGAGTCAGCCGCAGCAACTTAGCAAGACCCCATCTCAAAATGTGTATACACACACACACACACACACAGGGCTGGGGGCGTAGCTCAGTGGCAAAGTGTCCCTGGGTTGTCCCCAGTACCAAAAATAAAATAAAATAAATAATAATAAATAAAATAGAAAGAGTTGAGAATATAACTCAAGAGATAGAATGCTCTCGGGTTCAATCCCCTATTCTGAAGGATATGGAGAGAGAGGGAGAGGCACGCGCGCGCGCACACACACACACACACACAACGTAACAAAAGGAAAAACCGAGGAAGAAACACAAGTACTCTGAAGAAAGGTCCAGTGAATACTTAAGTCCTACTTTTTCCAGATCTTTCAGCAGTAAGCCTAGCATCCTGATGGAAGTTTTCCTATAGAAAACCGCCTCTGACACTCATTCCCTTACAAGAGTACCAGCAGTGCCCTGCTATCTACCACATGATGGCAATCTGCCAAATGGCATGGTAATTACAGTCTGTCTGTGGCCTTTACCAGAGCACAGTTCTGTGAGAGCTGGCATCAGGTCTCACAGAGCACAAATTTGTTGGTGCATGGGTTTAATTTACCTACAGCCGCACTGCTCAAATAACAGCTTATTGCCACATATGAATATTCTAGAGCAAGTTTCTAAAAACATCAATTCTAAAACTCTAAAAAACATGTAAT